CGTTAATTTTATTAATTTTAATGTGACGATGGGGACTACGACCCAAAGTTGGCAGAAAACTGTCGCAGTTTTGTATATGCGTGCAGTTAAAAACATGGTTAAATTTATTTCATTTGCTTAAAAGACGTCGAATATAATTGGATTTTTGGCATAACAAGTACTGAAAGTACTTTAAAATTGATACAATGTGGCTTGGCAAAATATCAGCAAAATAAATGGTACAAACTATTCTATTTCCATGCACAAACACACAACAGCAACAAAACAGCAACAGCTTGTGCATAGTATATGAAGTTTTTATGATAGAATCAATATGCATACGTATGGTTGAATGCTATGCAAATATTTGCACAAGCATCGACAAATAATTGAGTGAACTAAAGTTGGAAAAAGCTATGCAAAAGTTTGTGGCAACAGTTTGTCAAGAGATATATATTGTCTACATATGTTCTCTATACGTATGCATGTATGTTGTATGCGTAATGTGTACAACTCATCTAAAAAATGATTGCATGCAGTTGGGTCTGACTCATCAAGTCTGCGTGTTGAATTTAAGGCCTGGCATCAATTTACTGATGGTATTTTTCTTTTTTTTTTTCTTGCTTTTTTGCTTTTCTTGCTGAAGCACTTATTATAATGTTTGCCTTGTGGCCCAACAAATTGCGCGCTAATGTGTTTTTGTTGCCTCATCATTTGATTAGGGCGTCAAATTTAATGTTGATATTGAATTTAAAGCTGAGCCCGCGGCGTGGCTACCAGCTCTTTGCTTTTACCTATAGATGTGTATATATATTGTTTGTACCTTTTATTGATTTTTAAATGTGATTTTCGTTTTTTCTTCGAGCGTTTAGGCCAGGCTGAGAGCTGGCTCACATTTCTATTAGCAACAGCGCCATGTTTACGAACACACAGATTTGATTACAAAACTTGATTAAATTTCACTTTGAAAGAGATTTTTCTTAAAGCACATTTTGGCGAAGCGTGGGTTCTTTCTAGGCCCAAAAATCAAAGCGCAACAAAGCTCCTCCATGAAATACCTGGCATAACAATGAATCGGCTTTTGTTGTTGTTGTATCGTTGCCCGTTGCCCGTTGGCCACACAAAGGCACCGTAACACAAAGGTCTTATGTCTACGGCGGACATCAACAACGGCTCAAAACGAGCTGTTTTTGCCACTACTCAAAGGGTCGATGCGTTGGTTCAAAACCCAATTGAGTAACTTTAGCCAGTTTGTCTCACCAGGTTAATGGTGGCTCTTCAAGGCGACAGGGCGTCGCTAGGGCCTGACCTGATGTATATGTGAGACACAACTCGCTTATTGCAGTTGGCGTTGTTGTTGGACCATTAAATGATGATGCTTGAGTGAGCTCGAAAGGATATAAAACAAAAGCGCGTGTCCTCCTTAAATTATCCAGCAGTGTTTCGGTTTTGCGTTAAGTGCTCGACGATGGAGCTGCACACGCGTTGATTGCCCAGAGCCATTCACATTGATTGTGGCCCATAAAAAGTTGAGAGCTTTTACAGTAAACTCGCCTCAGTGCGCACATAATTACAGCCAAAAGCTGAGATAAAAGTCAAACAGTGAAATTGTTTAATGGCCACTGCATGGAAATGCACTCCAAACTATCTACGGCTGCGAACAGTAAGTTAGGTCAGCTTGCAAGGGAAACACAGAAAATAATAATTAGAAAATGGAAAATTTACATATATTAAAGCCAGAAGTCAGATACAGTCGCTGGCAATTAATTTATACAGAACAAAGACAGACAACACTATTCTATAGCTATGACAAATAAGCACTAAAAATCTACACAATTAATCTAATTCAATTAATTAAGCTCAAGTTTCATATATTAGATATTAGATGATTGGTTAGAATCCATCAAGAACATTGTCACGAAATGTGCAGCACATAAAGAAAGGCAACTATATATCTGCAATTAGATGTGTGATTAAACATACAAATATATATCACACGTCTGCACTGTCATTAAATGCAAGGTACTCAGAAAAATAATTATTTTTCTTGGTTATTTTATTTATTTATTACTTATAATATATAGGTATACATACTTCCGCAATTAACTTCTTCAGCTTATGCCTATCAACATTTATTTAGCTTCATTATGGAAAATCAAATTTAAGTTAACATTTTTGTAAGCATATAAATACCATAAAATATTTAAAAAATAAATACCTGTTTCTCACAGAAAACTCAAAAACAACCTCATCTGTAAGCTACTATATATTATTTACAACTATACCTATTAAACATTTTGTATTATTCTTTTCTCATATGCATATAATTTTATATATTTTTTAACATATATTTTTCTTGCTACCAATTTAAATAGAAGTCATAAAATGCTTCAGAAGCAACTAATATCTGAAAAAGTTGCTAAAAGCTTACGTTTTACGAATTCAGATGTTTATGTTTTACCGAATTCAAAAAATGCTTTGAGCGTCTTATAACATTTAGCTTTAAATAATTTATTATTTTAAATTAACTGAAAACCCTCTTAAATCTAGACGTCATAATAAACATGCTTGAAATAATAAATTAGTGTAATTTCCAGCAAAATTCATTGTACCCCGTAATGTTAAAGCCGAGAGCTTTAACAGCTATCAATCAATATAATTTGCTAGCTTTAGCTAAACACTGGCATTTATTTTAATGTAATGTGATCAAACACTTGCAGCTAGTGTCATTGCACCATGTATAAATGTTTGTTGACATTTCTTTTGGGAAGTTGCGGGGCCGAACATCAAAGTCGCCTGGGTTCAATTGCTGCTACTGAACTTTGGCATTGTTTTCTCCCCAGAGGGAAGGAAGGTGGGGCGGTTGCCAAAAAGACGATCCTGCATGTGTTAGCTGTAGCCGCTGCCAGCAGCTGGTTGCCCTTTGATTGCCACAGCGAATGTTGCAAGCATTAGTTGCTGCCAACAAAATTTACAAGCAGCTGCAAATTATTCTTGTACCGCGTTCAATGGCCGAGTGGAATGAACCCCGTCAGCGAATTTCCGTCTGGCAGTTCACAGGCTTTAACCACAGGTCAGAGTTGATTGTATGCAGTGGCACGTTGTGCGTTTGTGCCAAGTGGCTGTGGCATAACTGATTGGCCACCAGCGGGGCGAGCGTTAATATTGTGCCACGCACTGCAGTCATTGCCACTTGCTGCCCACGCGGGTGCCATTTATTCCGCCTTGGCTCAGTTTATCTGTGCGTGCATTAACCTTGACATGAATATGCACAGGACCCCAGAGCTCTCGGACTGTATTTGTGTCTAGTTCATAATGTGTTACAAACTAGCTGCAAACAAAACAAAGCTTCAGGTTGGCAATTTATGTGCTTTGTATTCAAATAGACTTTTTTTTGTGTTTTTTTCAGCACAATACCCCCAAACTGCGACGTCTTTAATTACTTAAGACCCGACCTAGACAGACAATCAACTCGCAGTGCGTCGGACTTCTGAGGGGCAGTCAAGTGTTTGAGTAAAGTCTGCTTGAATGTTTTGCTGTTTGCCAGGCACTCGGAAAGTTTTGAATTATGGTCAAAGCTGAAGCAATTTACATGCTTGGGCATCTACAAGATACGAGATGCTCGCAATGCAACTAACATACATGTATTGTGGCTTGCAGCTGGCTCAACTGCAAGTTTGCTATTCAGCGTTTGGGCCTTCAAGTTGTCAGCTGCAGCGCAATTGCCAGATAAACGTTTCCATTTTGTTGCTCATACGCCACGTTGCATGCTCAATGTTTATATTGCACTAGCAACAGATGTGCCAATAAATAAAATAATAACTATGCATCCGGCTATGGAAGAAGACCAAATTGTAGAAAAACGTTAAACTGAAATACGTGAAATGACACGAGCCGATCGAGAGGTTAAGGCAAGTTGGTGGAAAGAAGTTGTGCTTGGAAAACATCATTTTGCATCTTTAATGTGCTGTCAAAGCTTACGAATTAAAAAGCGACACACTTTGTGCATATTAACTAATTTGTAGCTTCATTATAGTTAATATTGCTTGCAACTTCATGAGCTTTTCAAGCAGAAAATAAAGATATAATCATAGTATCGAACCTACCCTTGCAGCTATTTCGATTATGTTGGATTAATCTTCTAAACCTTCCAGACCTTTTTTCAAGTAAGCGCAAGCACCAGCTTTGAATAGCTTTGAATCATTATTAAAGCTTAAAACTTCTACACAATACTTATACACTGAAACTGCAGTTTTAATGCGCTTTCAAATACAAAATTTAGCTATTTAATTAATCGTTTGCTTTGAAACAAACTTTTTCTTTATTTATTCATATATTACGCTTTCAATGCAGGTAGAAGTATTATTTTCACCTTTGAATTTTTTAAGATTTCCAAGATGACTGTGATTAATCGCTGGATGAATACAAATTTATTTCACAGCTAGCAGCGAGTGTCATTGGCAGTTTACTTGCAATATGCTGCTTCCATTGGTGTTGCTGCTGCTGTTGTTGTTGTTGCTGTCAAGTGTGTACGCTGTCAAGCAGCTGCAACGTGCAGCAACACTCACACACATAAACACACTCCCATACACACACAGAAAGAGGTAGAAAAAGAGAACCTACTGACATTTTAATATATACTTTCTTGGCACTCGCTGCACCCACTTCCTAATAGAAATGCCATGAAAAGTGTAAGTAGAAGCGAATACAGTATGCCATTTGAGGGTGTCGGAGCGGGAAATAGCTGCCATTGGCAACATCCTGTTCCGTTCAACCACTTGGTCTGTCACCTTGTGCTCCGTATAATGTGATAAGTAAGCGCATCAATTGTCAAATGCAGCATCAAGTAAATTGCCATTTTATTGATACTACTGCTTATTCTGGGTAATTTTTACAATGCCTTAATTTATTTACCACAAAAAGCCAAATGCGCTTTGCATTCTGTAAGAGGCTTTTGTGCCCGACAGCCAATCAAATCACATTTTAAATATAAATTACCATTCTTTTCTCTATATTTGCAGAGTGCGTGTGGAGTACTATGTGAATGAAAATACATTCAAAGAAAGACTGCAACTCTATTTCATTAAGAATCAGCGTTCAAGTAAGTATTCAAATTACTTTTTAACTGCTTAAGCTAAGCTTCCAAATTACTTGACATAGTCAAAAATACAGTGATATATCCTTACATGGACTGTTTTTAGCTATATGTATTGAACTATAAGTTCAACTTGTCTAAAAACAGACTTTATAAAAACACAGCTACCTTAGGGACATATGTATATAATGATTTCTTATCAATTTGTTCCGATTCGACTGCTTTTTCATTTCTGGTATTCATTTTTCGGTTGGTATTTACTTTAATAATTAGTGTTAGATAAGTTTTCGTAAACGATATATAAATAGAATCTCAAACAGATTTTCAAGTTGAACTTTCATTTAACCTTTTCTATAAATTGATGTAGAAAAGATTACAACGAATTTTAGCAGAATTTAATGAAATTTAATAAAATAATTTTAAGAGCAGAAATAAAGTGCTTGTTACGCATTGAAGGAATATTTTACTTTATAGCAAATATAGGACTATTCTCTAATTTCGGGCTTATCTGTGAGTTCACTTTAGAGAAGTACAACTGTAGCTCTTTTAAGCCAAACAACAAATGTCTAACTGAATTGTACTGCGGTTTTGCAAAGCAGACAGAGCTTTGAATTCCCGAATGTAAATAAACTTATGGCAAAACGATTAAAGTTTTCGTAGGCCGCACAAACAATTGAATCAATTGGAAAAACACGTGTAAGACGAGGCAGAGCAGCAGCAGCAACAACAACAACAACGAACACAGGACTGACATTGTCTAAGAAGAAGAAGCAGACTCAATATACTTGAGTAAATATTGATTTGGATAGGAAATAATTGTACAGGTAAACAGGTCGAACAGGTAAATAGGTAGATTGGTAAACAGTCAAATGAGGGTGAGTTGTTTTTTTTTTTGTTTTTTTCGCCCAATAAGTCAGTCAGTTAGTTAGTCAGGCGCTGACTGGAAAAACGGACAGGTTAGATAGTTAGGTAAAAGGTAAACTAACGAACTCATGTAATTTAGTTGTCTGACCCAAATTTCGTTTTGTGTTTGTGCTACTTTCTCTTTTTCAAGGCTTACGCATACGAATTGCCGATTTATTCCTTAAGTTACTGTCGTGTGTTCTCTACATAATACGTGTGATATTGGATAAAAATCCAACATTTATAACATGGTAAGCTAAAAGCCAACAGCAAATAACTTCAAATTGCAATAGCTCACAAGATTTATTGTGACCCTCACCACACCACACCCATTCTCCATATATCTCTATCTGCGTGTGTTTACTCTAGCTATGGCTGCGAAGTGGCCAATAAGACAGAGTTTATCATCTCTGCCAAGCTGACGGAGGAGGAGTTCCAGGAGAATCCAATTATTAACTGGGATGCAATACTCTGGGTGAATCGTCCCACGGTGCTCTGGGTGCTACAATTACTTCTGGCCATGGTGTCGTTAACTCAATCTTTGGTTCTTACATATCTAGGCTATAAGGTGAGTCGCCCACACAAATATATTAATTGTTGTTGAATGTACATTTTAATATGTGTTATTAAATTTAAAAATATGTAAAAGATGAAAAAAATACATATATTTCTGAAGAAAATATAAAATTAATAATTAAAATGCGAACTTTGATGTATTTTTTTTTACCCGCAACATTTATTTTATTTGTATAACACTAATATTTTATATGGCCGTGGTTTCAGTTCATGCTTAAAAACAGTATAAAAATTATTAATTTTCAAAGATACAAAAAAAAAAATTGCATAGGAAAGGAAGGAAATTAGGCTTTACAATTGGTTTGATTTTGAAAATTAGTTTAGAAAGATTTAGAAATATTTTACATTAAACAAAAATTTATTTATAAATATATAAATTTGGCTCTTAACTGTCTTGCTTACCAATTGTTCAACTTTTATAAAGTTTCATCTAATCGTTTAATTTTGTTAACAGGGCAACATATGGCAGCAAATACTCTCATTTCACTTTATACTAGAATTAGTAACGACAATACCCTTTGCACTAACGGTAAGTACACTTCAAATTTAACATTAAATAATATTTATATATTTCTATTTATGATTATTATTATTTTTTTATTTTTTTTCACTGGTAGATTGTGCATCCGCCGCTGCGCAATCTTTTCATACCAATTTTTCTAAATTGCTGGCTGGCCAAGCGCTCGCTGGAGAACATGTTTGTAAGTGTCTCTCTGTGTGTCTGTATGTGTGTTATTATTATTATTAATTTAAACATAATTCTCAATTTGAATGCTGCAACATTTCTGTAGAACGATTTGCATCGCGCTATGCAAAAATCACAATCGGCTTTGTCGCAGCAGTTGACCATTTTGTCGGCCACATTGCTGTGCTTGGTCTTCACCAGGTAACTATAACCAAGGACCACAGCCTCCCTTCTGCCTTCTCTCTCTCTCTCGCTCTCAAACTATCTCCGTCTGTTTCTCTTTTAGTGTTTGCGGTATACAGCACTTTCAGCGCGCCGGACATCGCCATTTGAATCTATTCCAGAGCACCTACTATGTGGTTGTGACCTTCTCCACGGTTGGCTACGGTGATTTTGTGCCGGACATTTGGCCATCACAGCTGTATATGGTCATCATGATTTGTGTGGCGCTGATTGTGCTGCCCACGCAGGTGAGTAAATGCATTTAATGCCCGACTGCGTCCGGCTACTTTGCAGAACACACTCTTCGCTTGACTTTGAGGAACCTTTTCGAAATGCGGCTTATCTGTGCTAAGGCCACAGTCAGCCTGCTTCAGAGAGCTGCAAATATTTGTATTCAGCTTGTATATATAGACACACACACACACACATACACACGTTTTTAAGCTGCTTAGCCGCCCCACTTTACCACTGTGCAGTACATCAATCAAATTGGCTATTAACAGATGAGTCGACATCGACTACTGGTCATCAATCTGTCTAAATATATATGAGTCATGGGCCCACTCGACGCGACTTGCACTTGTTTGCCTCTGGGTCCAAACAATTAACGAGCAATTGTTAGTAGCATCGGAAAGTTCTATGGCCCGATATGAATGACTGACTGGCTGACTATTGGCCAAACAAGAGCATCAATCAAAATGTTTTTTTTTCCGCGCGACTTTTCATAGCATACTTTTTGGGGACCGGCTGCAGTCGCTGCTGTCAAACAAGCGCGAGCTGCATGTCAATGTGCGCGACGCGTTCCAACAATTTATGGCCAGCCATAACAATAACAACAGCAACAGCAGCAACTTTGTGACCAAAATTTTAGCATGTGTGTGCGTGTGTGTGTGCCCGTGCGTGTTTTGGGTGTTTGCCTGCGCCTGAGCTTGAGCAAAGCACTTACAATTTATTGAAAATATAAGTGCTGCAGTACGAACTGCAATCGAGTTAAAAAGAAAATGCTGTCGCTGTCAATATATATTGTCAGCAATCTATCAATCTACAGCTAAATATACTATATAGCGCAGCGGGCTCTGAAATTCAATCAGGGCGCATGCCTAAAAATGATACCTATAAAAATATTTGTATAACCTGATGGATTTTGGCGATGACTAAAAGCGCCTTTTTATTTAAATCTAGTTATCAAACATTTTTAAATTGATTGAATTCGTTTGTGCTGAAATTCTGGCTTCCTACTGTCGCTCGCAATATACAATTTGTCAGCATCTGCAGATAATCTTCATACAAAAAAATATATATATGTGTATAGAGAGTCTTTATGGCCTAAAATATAATCAGCAGATATGGTACACACACAAATATTTGTATAGCCTAATGTATTTATACGATTACTACAAAATTATTAAAAAAATAAGAAGAGTTTTAACCAGAAATAATATCAATAGTCAAAAGAAAGAGGATATTCACTATTTGTAAGCATATAAATATTTTATATTAAATTATAATAGGAACAACAAAAAAGGTAAAAAATAATTGTTTGTTCTCTTAAAGCATAAATAATAATATAATAATAATAATAATTAATTAGATAAAAAAGAGTATACTAGATTTATGGATTCTCAAAAAATATTGTAGATATAAGTATATAATTTTATAGTAAATGTATCAAGTAGATTTCCAAACTGTAGAGTCGTCAGCTTCATTTAGACGGGAAGACAGCTCAGTAAAGTACGATATCTTATTTGCAATGAAAAAAAAACGTATATTTTGTTATAAATATGTACATCTTATACCTTTCGCTTTCATATGCAGTTTGAGCAGCTGGCTTTCACTTGGATGGAGCGCCAGAAATTGGGCGGCAGCTACTCGTCGCATCGTGCTCAGAGCGAGAAGCATGTAGTCGTATGCTCGACAACGCTGCACGCGGATACGATAATGGACTTTCTGAACGAGTTCTATGCGCATCCCCTGCTGCAGGACTTCTATGTGGTGCTGCTCAGTCCCATGGAGCTGGACACAACGATGCGAATGATACTGCAAGTGCCCATTTGGGCGCAGCGCGTCATCTACATACAGGTTGGTTAAATATTTGACAACTTGTGATTCGATTTGAATTGCATTTGACATTTTGCCGTTTGTCGTTTTCTGTTTGGCATTTGGCATTTGACAGGGCTCCTGTCTGAAGGATGGCGATTTGGCGCGAGCGCGTATGAACGAGGCGGAGGCGTGTTTCATATTGGCAGCTCGCAACTATGCGGATAAAACGGCTGCCGACGAGCATACCATACTACGCTCCTGGGCCGTCAAGGACTTTGCGCCGAATGTGCCGCAATATGTGCAGATATTCAGGTGAGTTGTGTGTACATGTGTGTGTGTGCGTGTGTGGGGCGCTTTGTCACGCCTCTGTTAATTTGGTTTCTTTCACTGTTTGCGCGCTGTGCGTGCCACACAACCAATGCAACCAATATATATATATATATATAAATATACAATCTTTTTTTTATACATATACATGTGTTCATTCGCTGCATATCCTGCGGAAATTCGCTGTGGCCAGACCGGAGCACAAGCTGCATGTGAAGTTCGCCGAGCACGTGGTCTGCGAGGATGAGTTCAAGTACGCGCTGCTGGCTAACAATTGCACCTGCCCGGGCGCCAGCACTCTGGTCACCCTTCTGCTGCACACATCACGCGGACAGTACGTATTTCAACCGTCATATCATTTATATATAACCTGTGTAATGCCCGGTCAACTGTTAATGGTCAGCAAACTAGAAAAAAAATTCACTTTCCATGCGTCAGCAAGTTTGCCGCCACGAGGCGTCACAGTTCAGCGCTTCTAATGTGTCACCTGGCCATACGCATCATATTTATGATGTCCCTACAGTGGGTATTAAGGGTAACAAATGACTAAATTACCTAAGCAACAGAATGCGATACAACCAAGCTTTATAAATGACAATTTTCATTGCCAATTCAAGTCAACTTGTTGAGCTTTCACTCATAAGCATTTAGAACGCATGGAGTATTAGAATCTTCAAATCTTTATCGCATTCGTCATAAAGTAAAGCTTTAATGTGCTTAAGCTTAATAACTCAAGGCTGTAATAGGTGAGAACAAATCCCGGAAAAAAAAATGTGTTTAAGATAAATCAACAGACCTAACATAAAGCTTTAATGCGCTTTAAGCTCATGCATAGCTTAATATCTTTAGACTGTAATAGGCGACAGGGAGGGATGTATAAAATCCTGGCAACGTAATTATGCTTAAAATAGATAGACCTAACTTAAATCTCCCATTAGTAAATATTACCAATTGTTTTGTTGTATTTATTAGCAATGAGCTTCTACATAAAGATTAAATAAAAACCTTTTTATGTTTTGAGTCGAAACTTTAGCTACAATCTTAAGTGAGGTTTATTGGTTTATGAATAAAGCGTTCAACCTTAGTTGAAGCTTTCATTTGCTTTAAAAGCTTAACATTGAAGTCTTAAATTAGTATTCAATCAAGCTGAGTATTTTTTGCCAATTATTAGAATCACTTAAAGTTCTAGAGGAATTTAATTTTTTTAAGAGCATTAAAGCTTCAACGTTCATTCATTTATTTTTAACGTGTGGGTACGAAATGGCACAAGGACGCATTTGTAAAAAGGAAATAAGCGAACGTCGCGTCAATTTGAAGTGCGAGTTTTAATTAAATTTAATGCGCAATTGTTTCTGACAGCAAAACTGTGTTTTATGCAAATTTTTCCGGTCGTCAAGTGCGTAAATTAAAAATAAAAATAAAATGTAAATAAATGAGTGAAATGCTCGAGCGTTGTCTGCGGCTTCAATTTGAGACCGCGAGCAACACGCAAGCCAGATTAATCATACGCCGCGTTAAACTTGACGCATTTGTTAAGTAAAGAATTCTAATTAGGGTTTTAATAATCAGCGTGGGGAGTGGGCGGTGGGCGTGAAATCGTAGTTGTTGCTTGACGAAGCTGTGAATTCCTTGAGGTCAGACGAGAATCTCAACAATTAAAACTCGAAACTTAATTCACCTTTTTGGCATGAAGATGTTTAACTTGTTTTATTTTATTATTATGTTTATTTTTTTTGTTTTGCTCTTCACAGGGAAGGCCAACAGTCGCCGGAGGAATGGCATCGTCTCTATGGCAAATGCTCGGGCAATGAAATTTATCATATTGTTCTCGGCGACAGTCGCTTCTTTGGAGAGTACGAGGGCAAAAGTTTTACCTATGCCAGCTTTCATTCGCATCGCAAGTAAGTGGAGATACTTCAAAATGCTTTTTAGTTAACAAAACTGCTTTGAATGAATAGCTTGACGTTTGAATGTTGAGATGATGGGATGGTGGGTTGGTGGTTTTGGGTGGTTTTGGGTGGGTAGGGCCTGGTAGCTACGCAGGTTGGATGGATGGATGGGCATAAATAAATGCCAACTTGCACGCCTCTCGTCGCATATTTATTTAGACGCCTCGGCCATTCAAATACAAATTTATGTAAAATGCCAAAATTGCTTTACATTTTCATATAAATTTTCATATTTATTTATTTGCACGCACCAAAAATAATATTAATAATAATAAAAAGGTACGGTGTTGCTTTGGTGGGCGTACGTCCGGCCGAGCTGCCGGAGTTCTATGAGGATACCATACTGCTAAATCCAGGACCCAGGCACATTATGAAAAAGGATGACACGTGCTATTATATGAGCATCACCAAGGAGGAGAATTCGGCATTTGTCGTTAATCAAAATCAAACTACGGACACAACAACGGCAGCCAGCAAAGACGGTGGTGCCGCCAGCGGTGGTGCTGGCACCACCCATTCGCATACAGCAACTGGTGGGTACAATACTGCGCATGAATTGCATATGTGTGCGAGTGTGTGCGCGCGTCTGTGTGTGAGTGTCTGAGTGTGTGTTGGTTGTCATCAAAAGAAATTTAAAACTACAAAAACGAAACACACGTTTGAATGACTTTGAATGAAGCAACAAAATGTATATGAAAAATATATTCATATCAAATTATTTATTTGTTTATTTTTTTATTTTTAAATTTAGCAACAAGTTTTTTGCTCTTGATTTTCGAGACTGCCATCCGTTGCGTTCGTATTCGGCTCTTGAAAAGTTTATTATTTACTTGTCTGTCCTCTAATTTCTTTTATTTAATTTCTTTTTGTTACGGTTGTCAATTTGTCTGAATCAAAAAATAAATTTAAAAGTAAAATTTAAGCTGAAACAAAACGCTTTCAATGTGTGTGCGCGTGCCCGTCTCTAATTAATAACATTTATTTTGTCTTGAAAGTTGACGATTTTATTTGTTCTCGTTTCAAAGCTAACACAACAAAAATAGACTAAAAAAAAAAAAATTAAATAACAACAAAACTCCACCGCTTTGTTATGTTTGTACAATTTTTCTGTCTCTCTATGAACTTCTCTAACTTCTTGTTTTATTTACAACTTTTCTACTATAATTGCCTTTTGAGCTCTACTCAAATTCTGTTTTCTCTATCGTTTCGGGTATAGAAGTTATTATTATACTTACATACATAACATAGAATATCTTAGCTACACATCAAAAATCGAATTATTTGAAATTTAAATCAATTTCCAAAAAATATGTTCACATCAAAACAATTTTTGTTTAAAAAAAATAAAAAAATTGAGTAAAAAGTAAAGCTTATTTTTAAATTGTAAAGTTAAATAAAATAATTAACTCTTTAATATAAATATAAATTGATTCATTTAAAAATGTACACAAAAACCATCCCAAGTAAAAATTCAAATTCCGATATGATTTAAATTATATTTACAATTTTTCTACAATTTTTAAAAACTTTGTCATTTGAGCAAAGTAATTATTAAAAAATTGCTATATTTAAACAAACTATTCTTTAAATTTCAAATTAAAAAAAAATGAAAGCAAAAAAGTGCTTAGCCAAATTTAAATATATAGCATAATATCCATTGGAAATGGTTTAAAGAACACTTTAATTTGTTTTTGATTTTGGTTTTATACAAAATATTTAAGATATACAAAAAACAACAGAAACCTAATTATAGCAACTAGGTTAAAGGTTACTACAACTACGAAAACTTATATGCATAGATGCAGAAACCCAAAGTCCAAATAGTCTAGACAAAATCAAGAACTAGAACTAAGCATATCATCAAATCAGACTTAACCAATTTCTTGGCAATTTTGACAACTTTTGCTGAGTACTAAAACTACTAAAAACCCACACACACCTGCACGCACACTACACGCACATGTACACACAACATTCCATATATTAATATACATATATAATATCATATCGTATAATGTATGTGTAGCCAGTACAACAACATCAACAACAATACAATCAACAACTAAAACAACAACAACAACAAAAACTACAACAATTAGCACGACTTTCACATCATCAACATTATTATCAGCATCAGCATCAACAACAACAACAGCAACCGCTTTGAATCAAGCGGCCATTGCACCAGTGCCGTCTGTTTGTGTTCGTGTGCCCCACAGTCCCACATACGACTCTGGCGCCGGCACGCCCATAATCGAGCGGCAACACTTGCAACCGTATCCGTATCCGCCACCGTCACCGTTACCGCCACCGTATCCGTATCCGCAAATGCAACAACAAACATGTGACAGTGATTATACAACACTATTTGTGCGTGAGTGTGACTCCAAAAAAACTAAACCATCCCTCCAAAAAATACTAAACCCCCTCTAAACCCCTAAAAAGTACTAAGGAATGAACCGAACAAAACCCAACAAATTTTTAACATTAAAAATGATTTTAAAAATGAACAAAACAAAAATCTAATCACCTTTTGCAACCTATGCAACTACCTTTTATAACATTTACATAACAATACTCTCACTCTCTCTCTGTCTCTCTTTCGCTGTCTCTTACACCTTATATATTGCTCTCTCTCTCTCTTTCTTAATACCTATATATAACTGTTTTTTGTCTAGAATTTAAGTTTTGCCCACTTTTGCCTAGCGCCTGTAAATGCCTTTAGCCCAAAAAGAAACCCGCCTACGTTAACCATTTCCGCTATTTGAAAGCCATTAGCGACAGGTCGCACAGCCCAACACACACACACACACACACACACACACACACACACACACACACACGCACACACACATACATACACACATACATACATACACCTTGCCAATACAGATCCGGCCGATCAATTTTTGTTACTTCCGCGTTGCTATTTTTGTCTTCTGCTTCATTTTGCTTTTTGCACTTGTTGTTCTTTTTGACGTATTTTATCGCATGTCTCATATTGCAACCCGTTCATGGTGTTTTATTTATTTATTTTTTATTATTACTCTTTATTCTGTTGCACCTTTATTGATAGTTGATATTGTCTCGCCCGCCTAGCCCGCTGCTCCCCTGTCAATTGTAAATTATACGCAACGCGCACGCAACAATTTGTTGCCCACGTCGCGTATACACAACGTTGTGCGCTGTGGCAGCAACTGTTGCGTGTCGCCTATGGCCAGCCCACTGTGTCTCAGAATACCCTGTGTTGTGGCAGAAATTAATGTAGTTGCTGTCGCCTTTCGTTCTAATTAAAGCGTAACAAGCGTCAGCAAATGAGGCAGAGTCATTAGGCCAGCCAACAAGTTGTGTCTGGGCTTTTCTGTGAGCAAATGTAATAAGGTTCCTACTACAAACGTTAACTGAAAGTCAATATTTTTGGCCAAAACTTGCAACGTTAAAGGCTCGAATGACACTAGCTGAAATTGGAAAATCATACGAGCCTGTAACAATCAATTATTCAATGCCAAAGTTAGTAAGGATTTCAAGAAGCTTCGAAGTCCATCTGTTAAAAAAAAAACTAAAAGCACCAATATGAGAACTTCTGAAATCTTTTCCATGTGATTCATTTAAAACAATCATCGATTCTTAAATAATCCCATTTCATATTTGCAAAGCCTTGCGGGTTTCCAATCGTTATTTCTTACTTCAATCGCTTTAAAAGTACATAAAAGCTTTAAGCTTTAATTCTGGCTGGTTCTAAATGCAAACATATCTCGATTTAAGCTGATTATACTGCGTGCATATTAAAAGTGGTCATATTTGAGTAAGCTTTTTGGCTACTATGAGTAGATAAAGCAAAACCCTAATAGTTTATATCGACAAAGCTTACTTAAAGCTTTTTTATTTCAATGCATTGTGAAGCACTGTAAAACACCAATTTTACAGTTAAGATAAAAATAGTTCAAAAGAGAAAAATATAAATAAGTTAATTTTTCATGTTTCCCAATGTCTACAGATTAAAATATAGCTTTAAAATTGACAAAAGCCTTAAAAATGATGCGTTGTGGGCTGCAAATATATTAAATTACTTTTTTATTTCTCTTATAAGCTATAGATTCACTTCTTGTTGTTAAACTTAAGTTTACTTCTGAAAAGATTTAAAAGCTCAGTAAAACTATGCTTAATATTTGCGGTGGACACCTAAAAGCTATATTTAAGCTTAAAGCTCATTGAAATGGCTTTAAATGAAATATTCTCTCAGATTAATCCAATATTTAGCTGCCAATTTAACCTAATGTCATTGGCTTAGTAAGTGAACGTCTGCCGTTCCTGTTAACCACTTGGCAATACGCAACTTTGACAGCTGCACAGTTTTTGGTCTTAAATTGCAAGGACTTTTAATGAGTTGGACAGGTTTTCTTCTTTTGCACGTCGCTTTCTATCTCTCTCTCTTTTCTTCCTACTCTTTTTTTCGCTGTCTACTTGTGCGTCATTCTGCTTTTTATACTCAAGTTGTTTGCTGTTTGGCTAAACTATTAGTAAATTTTCGTGTAAAGCAAGCGAAACTTTGTTCAAGTAGCGTTAAATTTTGTGCTTAATTCCTTGCGTTAATGCACTGCGGTCAAATTGAGCGTACCGAAGCACTGAAAGAAATTTGTACAAGTTCGTTGCATTTACTTTTCAAAACATCTTTAGCCAGCGACAACCCAACGGCTGTGATAATATCGGACTCGAGGCAAAATCTAAAGGACACAACCGTCAGCACAACCCAAATGCCGACGGCGGCAACAACAACGACCACAATAACAACAACAACGCTGCCGCTGACAATGGGCGGGTCAGCAGTTGGAAGCAGTGGGGCAGGTGCTCAGCCGGGCTCCAGCAGCAGCGGGGGCCTCGGCGTGGGCCTCAACATGGGCACATCGCTGAGCATAACACCTGCCACGCTGACCACCACGGGCAATCATCTGGACGTGCCCTATGCCAACAATCCCAATCTGCTCAGTCCCGATGTGCTCAATCAGCGTAGAGGTAAGCAAATAGCCAGAAGTTGTATTCCATTTTACTCTAACTAACCCTTAATCCGCATACAGGCAGTCGCAGACCCTCGATATTGCCTGTGCCGGATATGTTTACCTCCTCCTCGTTTAGCATAGCCGGCAACGATGATGGCGAGGAGGGCGACGAGAGCGACGATGAAATTGACGATGAGATGCCCTGGCGTTCGCCCTCTGAGAAGATTGCGTAAGTCTATAATTTGTTATCCGACTTTGTTTTTCTTTTCTTTTTGTTTTTTTTTTTTGTTTTGATTAACGAATTGATAATTAAGGCACTTTTCCCCCCTGTATTGATAGCAACTAATATGCATAACTGTATTGTGTACACCCCCAGAAATATTCTAGAGAGCAATAAAAACTCTAAAATAACACAGCCAACAACTAGATTAATCTATATCTGTATTCACTCTGATTGTACCTATAAGTGTGATGTATATAAGAACTTAACCCCTAATGTCTAGTATCTGTATGTATATAGTTGGACTAAGCGATATTTTCAGCATACCAACTCTGTAATCAAGTAAAGTGATGCCATATTGATTATAAAATAATGCAAAAACCAAAACGTAGCATCAAATTTTTATCGATCATTAAAACTCTCCATTTTGATCACTTTTAACATTATCGATAATATTAACATAATAAACTATCGACTTGAAAGTGACCTTTAATTATACAGATCATTTCATCACTGTCTCTCATATCAATTATGCTAATTATCGAGGTTTTATTTTGATAGTATTATGAAAAAGATGCAAAATTTTAATTAAAAAGTTAATAAAAAGTTAAAAATTATCGATAACATGAAAATTTGAAGCATAAATCGAAACTTTATCGATTTAGTGTTGTTAAATAAGAGTTCAGTTGTTTTTATCTTATGCAACACCATATAACTATCGAAGTTTGAAAATGTCGGGGCATTTCTTACCATCAACTGACTATCGAACTCTCTCTCTCTCTCTCGATGGTCAAATTGATAGCCTTGCAGTACAATCTCAAAACTACTTTCCATTAAACATAGTTAAGCCTTATTTCAAAATCTTTTCTAACTTATATTTTATTAAGAATGCTGAAAGTATCGCTTTGATCTAACCCCCTGTTATTGTATGTTTATAATATATGTCGTATTAGCTGTAATGACCCCCTATCCTCCACACAACCCCCTTAGCTTAGCCTAGACCTCTTTTGCTCAAGTAAAACGCTAAAAAACTGACACTCCAAGAACTCTCGCAGTTGCTTGGGCGGGCACTTTCCACAATCGCGCACCTATTCGCTCATCAAGAGCTCCTCGGAGGACTCCTATCCGCGGGGCAGCGTTGCTGGCGCCAACTGCGCCTATTGCAATGCCAATGCTGCGGCAGGGCCACCGCCAATCGAATGGTCCGCACCGCTGCGCGGGCGCGCTATGAAGAAGAGCTACAGCTGCGACAGCGAGTGCGCCCTGCCGCCCAGTCAACGGCTGGGCCTGGGCCTGGGCCTGGGCGGTGGCGCGCTGACGGTGCTCGCGGCTCGACGCCGTCAGCTACAGCGCTGCTGCTGCAGTTACTCGCACGACAGCAGCAGCAGCACCACCAACACCACCACAACGGCAGCCGCAGCGGCGCAGTTGGCGCTGAGCACACAAATGTGCACCGCTGGCGGTTTTGTGTCCGGTCAGCCGCCGCCACCGCCTCCGCTGCCGCCGGCCTTTACCTATACGTCAAGCAGCTCCGTTGAGACGCGCCGTTTGGCGCGTCCGGTTTGGGCATCCGACTATTCCGGGTAAGTTGCCGCACTTGAGGCGCCTCAGCGGGGCACACACAACCAGCTCGTGCTGCCATTTTGGAATGTTCCATTGTTGAAGAGTTGTTATCGTTGCTGTTGCAGTTGTTGCTATTGTTGTTGTTGTTGCTGCTGCTTATGCAATGTTTTGTTTGGCTGCAACAGTCGCTAGTTGACTGCCGCGGGGCATTTTTTAATGACTTGCAACGTTTACCTTGGACGCGGCGCGTAACCACTTTAGATTTGCTGATGTTACTTTACGACGCTTTTAGTCTTGTCTTACACATACCCTGCAAATCTAAGTTCACGGCGAAGGGCATGACAAACTCTTTTAATTATTAATATTCAAATTAATAAGTTTAAGAGAATGAAAAAATCAAATAAAAAAACGTCCTCTCAAGCTTATTCTCAATAATCTTTAACGTCCGTCTACAGAAGCTACAGACCTATTTTTTACATTGAAGTTTTTCATATCTTAAACCAAAAGATAAAAAAACTTGCACTTTGTTCCTGGCTAAAACGAAAGGTAATCTCAGCTTCCCAAGAATATTAAAGCAAATTTCTTAGGCAAATAATTTCAAAACAAAAATCAAATCACGGTAGAGGCGTTATTAGACATATAATTTGTTTTATTTAAACTACTTTTTCGAGAAGGCATATCAAATTTTGTGTAGATAACACAAAATAATAAAAAAAAATCAAAAATGTTCCTTAACAGGATTGGATTTTATTTTGTTTCATTAGCATAGCTTACAATGTAAAGACTTCGAGCGTTGCGTTAAACGAGGGTATACTGTATCATTTTATTTTAGGCGATAACAATTTCTTGGTATAGAAATTCTTAAACATTATAAACAGCGCATTTTGTGGCCACTTTATTTAACAGCATATGACATAGTCGTTCAATTCGACTATTTTACCATCGCAACTTTGATTGATGTTGTTGTTTCTGCTTTTGGCTGAGCATCCTTTTTGGTTTTGTTTGCGTTTGCCCTGAGTTGCATTTTGTCGTTTGCATTCATACAAAAAGTTGTCGCTTCATGCTGTTGTTTATCCTCTTGTTGTTTTCGTTGCTGTTGTTGTTGTTGTTCATCTACAGTGTTGCCTCCACGACCACAAAACTCCCATGTTTTAGCTGTGTGCAATTAAGCACAGTGGTGGGCATCGAAGTGGGCGGGTCTCAGGTTCAATTTAACCAAGTTGAAGCCATTGGCAGCAGCTGTGCGTTAAGCCAGCTGAAAATGCTGTTCCAAGTTAATTGCATGCTAACAACCTAAGAGAAACTTTGTAAAAATCACATTTTCAAAAACAAGCGACAACCCTGTATCTACATTTCCTAAGTTATAATAATCTAGAAAAAAAAAAACACATCTATGATTTAAATAACAAGTTTTTCGATGTTACCCAAAAATGAAAGCTTTCTGTGTGTTAAATACTCAGTCGCCTGTTCCTAATGCTCATATCCTGCACTTAACGTTTGGCTAACCATACTTAACGCTTTTCCTTACCTGATTTTTTTGTTGCTTAACACCAAATTTATGAACATCCAATCATTTGAGCTCATTTTCATAATTGCAATGCTCACATTTTGTGCATTACAGCATTGTCAAGGGTTTTCCGCCAGTTTCACCTTTTATTGGTGTCAGTCCGACGCTTTGCTACCTGCTCAAAGAGAAGAAGCCGCTCTGCTGCCTCCAGCTGGCCCAGGTGAGTGACAGGCCCCAAAGGCCACAATCATTGACTGAATGCACTTTTTAATATTCTTGTGGACAGGTCTGTGAGCACTGCAGCTATCGCAATGCCAAGGAGTATCAGTGGCAGAACAAGACCATCATTCTTGCGGCGGACTATGCCTCGAATGGTATCTATAACTTCATCATACCGCTGCGTGCTCATTTCCGTTCCAAGACCTCGCTGAATCCCATCATTTTGCTGTTGGAGCGTCGACCAGATGTCGCCTTTCTCGATGCGCTCTCCTACTTCCCACTGGTTAGCCACAGGCGAGCTCTTTAATGCTCTCTACTCATTTTCATGTTATTCCAGGTGTATTGGATGCTCGGCTCCATTGACTGTCTGGATGATCTGCTGCGCGCTGGAATTACGCTCGCCGAGAGCGTCGTTGTGGTCAATAAGGAGCTATCCAATTCAGCCGAGGAGGATTCACTCTCCGATTGCAACACAATAGTCGCTGTGCAAAATATGTTCAAGTAAGTGAAAAAGTACTCAATAATTGAAATAAGCTCTCAACAAAGCTGATTCATAGAGAAACCCCTTATCCAGGTATCTATGTAATTAGCTAGACAAGTTCAAACTTTATCTGCACTTACGAGCCTTTAGTCTGCAATCGCTTAATAAATTTCAATTACCTTAAAGCTTTCTGTATCTTTTAAAGCTCCAGCTTTTTGAGAGCTTAAAGCTTAAGTCAATACCAATAATTAAAAATTGTAGTAAGTTAAAACAAATTAAGGAAAGTCAGAATATTGTCAAGCAGTACAAAATATTTGCTTTCAGCTGTAAGCAAGCTTTCTGACTAATTTAACTTAAATGCATTAGCATTCAAGTAGTTAAATTTGTGCTTTCATTCAAGCTTAATATGACTTTTCGGACAAAAACGAGAGTGCTTTCAATTTTTTAGTCCAGCCGGAATGAATTCTCTTTTTACATTTAATGCAGCCCAAAGTTTGTTGTTTATTAAGCGTAAACACAGTCGAGCTAAATATGAGTATTTTTCAAGAAAAAAATATTGTTTATCTATCTTTCAACGAATCTAAATATGACTTAAATTCTTTCTCAACCCGTATTTCCTCCTCTACTTTATTCTTTCCGTATTCGTTTTTCTTCCATGCTACTAAAGATTCTTTCCAAGCATCAAGAGCATCACCGAGTTGTCACAGAGTTCGAACATGCGCTTCATGCAGTTCCGGGCACACGACAAATACGCCCTGCATCTGAGCAAAATGGAAAAGGTCGGTATCATGGGGCCCGGCGCGGTGCATTCGCTGCAGTTTTCATTGGTTCATTTGTCGCTCACTTAATTGCAGCGCGAGAAGGAGCGCGGTTCGCACATCTCCTACATGTTTCGGCTGCCCTTTGCCGCTGGCGCCGTCTTCAGTGCCTCCATGCTGGACACTCTGCTCTACCAGGCCTTTGTCAAGGACTATGTGATTACCTTTGTGCGCCTGCTGCTGGGCATAGATCAGGCGCCGGGCAGTGGTTTTCTCACCTCGGTAGGTGGCACTTTACAGCAACTGTTGCCTAGCTTTTTGATTACTTTTTCTCTCTTGGTCTAATTCCCTGACAGATGCGCATTACCAAGGATGATATGTGGATACGCACGTATGGGCGCTTGTATCAGAAACTCTGCTCGACCACCTGCGAAATACCGATTGGTATTTATCGCACACAGGATACCTCAAATGCGGATACTTCACATGTGAGTAACTCGCCGGTCGAAAGATGGGGACCCTTCTCCGCCTTCAGCAGGCATTGTGTGCGCTTGCGTCCATCGGTGAGTCCAAAACAAATGCAGCCAAAAAAAAAAAAAAAGAAACAAAAAGAGAAAAACCGCTTGAAAATAAAAAGGTTTACTTTCAACTTTTGGGCCCTCCACATAATAATTAAAAAAGTCTACTTAGCCAATCAATTGGCCGCACAAACTAACAAAAGAGAATTTTGCCTTTAACTTATGCTCATCGCATTTACACCTGTTACACACACACACAGCCTGTCTCTATTTCTCTGTCTGTCTCGAATTCTCTGTCTCTTGCTCACATAAATTTCGATTGATTTCGATTAGTTATCGAAATTCGTTTCAAATTAGGAACACACACAACAAAGAATTCAAGAAATTTATTAACAATAATTTAAGTTAGCCTTTAAAGGATTGCTTTTTTAATCATTTCTTAGCGGTCATAACGTTTGTTTTTATACTTTTGTATTTATTTACTTTAGTTTGTTGTTCATTGTTTTTAAAATCACACGCTTACGCTTCGATACTAACTGCATTCAAGACGAGTCTACGCCAAAAAAAAAATATATATATATAAAAAAAAAACTTCATTTGCATATTTTACTCAATATATATTAACTACTTATAAGTACTCGTATTTTATATACTCTACTACTCGAAGCTACTTAATATAATAAACTCTCTTTTCTCAATTATTACTTGAGCTTGAAGAGCTACAGATTTTACGAAATTTCTTCAATTAACGTAACTTTTACTTGCTTACAAAGATCTAGAGTTTTTTAATCCAAGTACTCATATATGCATAGCCGAAAAAATACTAAATCCCTTACCCAAAAAAAAAAAACCAAGCATAGCGTGCTGATTTAGTCTAAATTGTATAAGTTTCCCAATTGATTTTGTACATATCTTACTAAAAAAGGACAAGACTTTCGTAGTTGATTTTATACTTTTTTATTTTATTCAAAGGCCAGTCGAAGGTTGAAATTTCTATTCGCTCCCGGCTCCCTCACATTCTTAGCTCATTTTTGCCTAATTCCCTCTCGTATATAATAAACACACACATCAGCTAAAAATATGATTGATACGCGTTCCCCTCCCGCTTCCCTAAAATTTATTTTGTGTGAGCAAAAAAAAAAAAGTAACATAAAAAATTACGCATACGACCCAGTAACATTTGTCTAAATGTTAAAAAGAAAATAAACTAATTGATTTGCGTTTGTATTGGACTTGACCAGCTATTGAAAAACGCACACGCACGCAGTGAGTCCTATTATTTAATAGACTAGTCAAAAAAAGGAACTTTTAAAAAACGAACTAACAAAAAATAAACAAAAATACCAAAAATTAAAAATAAAAAACATTTATCATGCAACGTTCACTATTGCCTGCCTGCCTCATAAGCGCTTGAATTGCTATGGACATTCTTGTGTCTGTTGTGATTGTGTGTGTGCTTAAATATGTGTGTGTGTGTGTGTGTGTGTGTGTGTGTAGCTGTTTAGTATAGTTAGTTAGGTTTCCGCTTGCATGACTCCGTACTTTTTTCTTGTTGTTCTTTTTAGTTTCGTCTTCTTGTTTTTTTGTTTATTTTTTAACTTGCATGCAGGCCTTTAATTAGCTGATTGCATTTGCTTGTTGTGCGCCCTGCACCACAGGGCAATAGCTGGCCACAAAAAAAAAAAGCAGTATCAATAGGCGTATCACACGCCACAGACAACCACCTGCATTCCCCAACCATCCTGCCATCCACCCACCGCCCTGTTGCCTGAGCTCTGCTGCGTTCACTTTGTTTTTACATATAATAAGTATTTACATTTGTTTGTGCCATGAATAAATATTTGAAAAATACAAATTCGTTTCTGTGGGTTAAGCTTGTTTGTTGAAAAATTATCGATTATAATATACCTGTTATCGATAGGCGTAGAAATCAATGTTTGTAGTGAAAAATGCTTAATAAACATAATTGAGCTCTTCTCTTTACTATCTATCTATTTATCGACTCGCGCTTTATCGATTGCGTCAGCTATCGATTAACAAAATCATGCGGCACCTTTGTATATATTAAAGTCCTTGTTATATTACTCCGTTTGTCTGTGTCCAGCTAAGTTAACCTATTCGAAATTGATCCTTATTACACGAGGCAAAGCTGCTCCTTCCTCATATTTTAGTCACTTTAGTTTGCTAGTTTCCCATTTGTATGAAAAAATTAACAATGTTTTCATTTGCAATGCCTCCCGAACTTTGTTGCCGTGTGAAAATCCTCATTAAAAATACCGTGCCTGATTCAAAAAAATCGATTTAAATTAACTAAGCGAAAACTTCGTTTACAAAATTGCGCTGCATAGCACGAACCTCTGCTCTATTAAGTACTTTAGATGCAATTTCAATTACCTTAACAGCTTTTTAGTTGCCATATTAAAATTAACATGCGCTTTGCAAGCACCTTTTGAAATATAGTTTTTCATTTTCTGTGCTTTTTCAATTATTTAATTTTGTTTCATTCAAGATGTGAGCTAAATACAAAACGGAAAATGAAATTCATTTAAAACATGTTTTGGCTTTTAGTTATAAACGTTTTTATCCAGCATGACTTACAACATATTAAATGTTAACCTGGCCATACAATCAAATAATTACAAAAATATATATACATATATATTTATACAAAAAAGATAACATCATTAACATTAAATGAGCATAAAGCCCGAAACAAACAATATACCATCAGCCATGTATAAAATTGAACAATCTGCCATTTCAATTAAAAATCAATTAAATATGTAAATCATCTTGTGTTTAACCAAAATTCACTGAAATTTGCATACAAACCATCCCGACCATCCGATCCAATTGTGCACAGTATGACGAGGAAACCGGCACGCCCGATTCCACCAAGGATAGCACGGAAATGCTGCGAGGTGTTACCTATCGTCCGCCCTCATCTGGTGGTGGCGCCGGTGGGGGTCCAGCTGCTGGTGCTGCTGGTGGTGGTGGTGGTGGCTCGGCCAGTTACCGTCCGCGCCAGAAGTCGGTCAACTGCCTGGGTGGCTGTTCGGAGCGTAAAGGATCTTCCGTAAGTATCTCACACACAAGAAACAACAAACAACACATAACAATTGTAGGCGTGGTCGCCCACCCATCGAGGTAGGTGGCTTTTGGTTTTTAGGGAAGTTGTGTTTAAGTTTTTTGTTGGCTTGAACGCTTTGACGCATGCTGTTGGATATGGATGCCCGAAAATAAGTACATCTACGTGATCGTTTCATTAGTTGCGCACAAAACAAGAACATCACACACACACACACACCCACACACATAAACAAAGATACATTTGAGTGTAAATAATAGACCTTTAGGCACTTTGGAGTTCATTTTGAACTAATTGTTGTTTTCTGACATCGTCTCTTGCAGTACTCCATTAATCTGGCGGACGAGGCACGCGATAATCACGCCCAACAGATCGAAAGAGCCGAAATTGCCAATCTGGTGCGCAGTCGAATGGAATCACTGAATCTACCGACCATTGACTATGATGATGTCAGCGAGAAGCGCAACCATCTGTCCTATGTGATAATCAATCCAAGCTGTGATCTTAAGCTGGAGGAGGGCGATCTGATGTGAGTACATTCGTTATCCATATCAGAGTATATCTCTTCAGACAACAGATAGAGATAAACTATAATTAGTTTTATGCCGAGCATTGATAGATTGGTTACTTACAATTTTAAGAATGGTATAGAATCTTTTTCCAAACTGCACCAGAATTAAACCTCAGAAAGAAATATAAATATCTTCAAGACAGGTTATATTCTTGCTAGATATTTCTTATAGATTTGTCCTAGAAGCGAGGTCAACTACATTCAGAACGAGGCAAAATATAGTTATAGTTATCATTATCAAAATTTTTGTTGTCTTTATGAGTTAATAAAATATATATTTTTTTATCAATTCTATACTTTAAGCTTACAAAGTTTTAATATAAAATTAATGGGCTTTCGTTTTATTTATTCAATTCACAGCTATTTGGTGCGCCCGTCGCCGTTTTCGGCGCAAAAGACATTCGAGCGTCATAATTCGCGCCGCAAATCGAACATTTCGTTCTGTTCGAATATCAATTTGGGCGCCACATGCGGCCCACAAATGCCAAATATGCCCAACACCGCCGTCGGAGCTGGTTCGCGTCGAGGCTCCGGCATCGCCGGTTTGAACCCCATGCAAATGCAGAGCGTTCAGACATTGGCCGGGTATGGATCATCGCAGCGCTGTACGCCCCCGATGCAGCAAATTAAATCGAATTCTCTTTCTCTACCCGACAGTCCGACGGTGGTTGGCTCGCAGCGCGGCAGGAGTAACTCATTGCGGGTTGGCTATTATTCTCTATCCCCCCTCTCTCTCTCTCTGTCTCCCGCTCTCTATGTAACACTCATTCACTCTATCCCACTCTCTATGTACCTTTATTACACGATTTCCGCTTTCCCGTTTACGTTCACGTTTATCGACACTTCCCATTTGTGTTCACTACTGTACCAAATCTAAGCCGATAACTGTGCATTTATTTGGTCATCGACAGAGTTGCCATTTACATTGAATGTTTAGCATGCCGGGGGCAACTCTGTAGCTGAATAAATACGCAGCTAACAGCAGCAATACAAAAATAAAATTTTCCTAATTTTCATACCCTTGCAGAAACTTTTGAAGCTACCGAAAATTATATAACATATAATTCAAATGGTCATAAAATTGATAAATTTGTAAAGTCTTGGGTACAAAGAAGTTTCGGTATAAAATTTGTTAGCTAATAAAAAAGTAGAAGAATTAGCAATTTACAAACTCTACTCAAATTTATCGCTACAAACTATTCTTTTACTTTTATTAACTACTAACTTTATAAAGGTGGGGTCCTGAAAATAGCCATAACTTTAGGGTTTTCTACAGGGAATTCGTTGCAGTATGCAAAAAGTACAATTAGGAAAATTAAAATATATATATCTGTAGTATATCCGACAACAGATTAAATCCTCTTATATTAATAGTTTTGCAAGGGTATTATTGGCTTCGGTGCACCGAAATTTCATTATCTTTGCTGTTCTAATTACCAATTGGCTAACATAACACTTACACTTGGGCATACTAGTTGCCGCACAATTGTTGTATGAAGAAGCACATTGTTAAATGCAACAATGCTCACATTCTCACACACACACACACACACACACAGACACATCCATGTAGAGCATCAAAATTTGGTTGCATTTCCGTTTTTGAGAGAATCGCAAATCCATTTCACGAAATTGACGAGTTTCAAAAGCCGCAGCACTCAACAGCCGCAACAAGAGCAACAACAACTACAACCAGACCAACAACAACTATGTTTCCAACAACAACAACAAGAACTATCAACAACAACAACTATCTACAACCAGTTCAGCAACCATTCATAAACATAACGCACGCACGCAACGGATAAATCCGCATCACGTTTCCGTTTCCGTTTCCGTTTGCGTTACTCGTGTTGGCTGCACCCACCAAAAATACATGGATAAAAGAATAATAACAATAGGAATAATATAAAGCAAATAATTAAATCATCAAGAGTGCGGCACGGACTTGAGTTCAATGTGTTCGATATGTGTGTGTGTTTGCCATTGGGCCAAAACACGCCTTGTAGCCAATTTGTATTGTGTGTGTTTGTGTTTATTTTGTTTGGGCCAACATTTTGTTTCATTCCGTTTGCTCAACAAATTTGCCCGCTAATCTCGGCCAATTTTGGTTGGAAATTTCCATTTCCCTTTACTTGCAGATCGATAATGATATACTGCTGCGTCGCTCCTCGTCGCTGCGCCAGGGCTTGCCCAGCGTGGGCGTCAGCCATGGCCGGCGCAAGTCGTCGCTGGAGGAGATCGGCATCAGTCACTTCACAACGCTGATGCAGGCAACGAATCACAGCAATCCCATCAAGATATCGCTCAACGGCAGCATCGGCATGGAGGTAAGCGAAACACAAGCACTTCAGCAAATCTCTAAAATCTCAACACTCGCACAGAATCAGATCTCGTTGCAGGTGACGCCGCCGGAGGAGCCGACACCCATGTTGGGCGTGCCCTGCGTTTTGGGCGGCGGCGGCGTGGGCGGCATAAATCCCTCAGCGCTCGGGGGCAGCGCTGGCGGCGGCGGCGGCAGCGGCGGCATGCTGGGCGCCAGCTCATCGTTGGCCATAAATACGGCTGATCTGGGTCCCGGACCGAGCACCTCGTCGGGCGCCTCGCTGCAGGCGCAGGACTCGCTGCCGCAGTCGTCGCAGGCGCCGTCGCCGCAGCATCTGCAGGGCACGATTGTATGATACAACCTGATGTGGGGTCGTCGACTCCGCTCCTCGATGTCCAAGAACAAATGGATATAGAATACGGCCAGCACACACAGACGTAGAGATAAGTTCTAGTGCTTGTCTACTTATTATCAAGTCAAGCTGCTAACCCAAAACCAAATCCAAAACTATTTATATATGTATAAACGAATTCGAGATGTTTGCGTGCCGATACTTCGTGACACGACGGCGCATGGACACGCAGCGATATTGTTTTTCAAATTTACGCAATGTAAGTTTTTCGTTTCGTTTATTTACACAAATATTTTTTTATTGCCTTCATTGTTACTGACATTATAATTGCCACAACTGATATTATTACCACTACTGCAATTATTAAATTAGAAATCATATTACTAATATCATTTTTAGTTTAGGTTTCAAGCTAACAGGTTTACGTAAATTTCGGAAACTACTCTGACCTTCTTCTAAAACATCCCAAGAGTCATTGAGATTTTCTGAGTCCTAAGCTCCGAATTTCATTAATTTACCTTCTTCAAAGAGATTTGAATGGGAAATCCAAACTTCATAAGATCCCCCATTATAACTATGTAAACTTAGCTTAACTTTATTTCATACAAAATAATATTTGTTTAATTTTTAATTTTTTCTTTTCCGGTTCTTATATTTTTCTGCAGTTCTTTTACTATTTTCTTTCACTATTTTCTATGAGAAAACAAATGCATTTCTAATAATGAATTAATAATTTGCGAATATCGTGTCAGGAATGTATCGTATCACGTGCTCGTCTCTAACTATTATGATCTAAGAACCCAACCCACCCGAAAGCAGCCTGTCAGTGTCTGTGGTGTGTGAGTATCTCGCAGCTAATGCGTTAATTCTAGTATAGCCTATAGAGGCCGCCCCCTTTAATTTGCCCGGATATTGGGAGACGGATGTGTTTATCGTTTTGCTTATAGCTATACCTAAGTATATGAGTAGCAATAAATTATATTCAAAATTCGGTATGCTTTATTCAAATGAGGCAAAATGTGTTTTTGGGAACAACAAAGTAGTTAAACTATATTGGCATGAATGGAGGTATCTACCACTTTAGCTGTAAATAGTATCGTGCGGACATGTGTGTTAGTTGCTATTTAGATCTAGGCCATAAGTAAGAGGAAAAACAAAAATCAATTCATTTTTAGCATATCTCTCTCTAATGAAAATTAGTTGCCCCAAAACAAGAGGCTCAAAAATAAAATATAAAAATTTAAAACAGCTTTTTAGTCGAAAGGAAATATTGTATATACGATAGTCTTAAGTACTAGATGTAGGAACGTTTTTGTTGGTTTCTTTCCAAAATAATTCTGCAATATTCATAGACAGTTCGCGCACAGCTACTTCCTTAGGTTTCATACGTTGCACAGCTCTCACTTGGATAGTTTACCCAAAACATAATATTTTACTATAAGAAAGGTGCTATCAATGTTTTGTACCAGACACATTCACAAATTTCTTTCATATCTTTTGTAAAACCCAAAACAAAACGGTTTTCAGAACATACAAATTCGAAAGAAACGGCTTTGGTATACTCTAATGCTTTACAATACATAACAGGAAAAAATGTTTAAAATTGAAACGAAGAAAACTATGCTATGTAGAAGTTGTTGTATATATTAGTCTTAAGATCGAACTGCATACAAACTACTAGAACTAAAACGCAAAACAACAGAAATGAGTTATAGATATAATGTCTATGATTATATACTATTTAGCCAATAAGCACTTAGTTCGGTTTGAGGGCCGTGCTCAAAGCCTAAGCCTATAGCTAATAGCGAAACTGTACCAAATTCAATGAGCTATACACATTCAAAGTATCACTCACATATGCTTAGATATATTAGACATACATACATATATACTTAGTATAGAAGGAGCACCCACTTGCTGTATATATATATACATAGTTGATCTCCAGTCGGTTGGCACCTCTGAAGACCTAGTTACGTCCCAGCAACGAGGAAATTTATTAATTAGCCTATAGCTAAAGCATACGATGTACCTACTACGACCACACGCACATATACATACAGAAACACATACATACACATATATTCAAGAAACCTAGAATATATACATACCTATATATCTAGAGCACAGACAGTTTTATACTAAGTGAATTTTACTCGGTTCAGTTCGAAATGCTGAACTCAAACATGATATATGCATTCCAGTGTCTCAAGAACCTATGCGACATGCGCGCTTGGATATTACCTAAGCCTAAGCCTAGCACACCCCAAAAACATATAGTATCTATATAGATATATATATAGATATATATATATATATATATATATATATATTTAGATCTAGGTAATCTTTAGCAGTCACAAAATTAGCAACTAGTAAATGTCTCAATGTACAAAAAGCAAAAATGGCAATGCCTGCAATTAGTTATCAAAGAACCACAAAGAAAAACAACAACAACAACTAAAAACCAAATGTACTTACTATATTTAACTGATATGAATGCTATGCATAGAGCATATTCAAATTTAGATTATAAAACTTTGCTGTAATATTTAACTGTGCTCTTTAAGGCACTCGACAAACATGTCATGAAAACTCACAATAAATTCAAAAATATATAGTTGATGAAAACTGAACAAAACCGAAAGAACTTCGGTGTACTTCAAACTCAAATGTTTAAGTGGCCAATTTATTATCATATATTATAAAAAAGTATTTTTGATTTTTAACAAATCCTTTCAAAAGTTGACTTCTTCATTTTATTTTTTTGAAAACATTAATTTGTATCAATTAATTGTAATGTCATCTAAAAAAAATAAAACTAAAAACTAAACTAAAGCTTAGTACGAACAGACAGACCGTCACGTTAAAATTTACCAAATTTGTCTGCCATATGTCTGACCGCTAGATAATGTTAATGAAGACGTCTGCCGAATCCATTCGTAAAATATTTGCAGCACTTGAGCAGATTAGATACAATTTTAATTAAAACCCATTTTATTGCAATGTTAAATCATATTGAGTCTAGCTTTGACCGACATATTAGAGAATAGTCTGACGTCGATTCGTGCAAACAAATAAAATGTCTGGCCAACATACTTAATGTCGGTTAAGAAATATATGGGCTTGAAAGACTCAGCTAATAGATCAGCATATATAATATTTGTTCTTTAAGACTTGCCAAATGCGCTCTACATTAGGCATACCATAGAGTACTCGTACACCTCATTCGTATATGTATATATATATCTATATATGTATTTATTAGATTGAGTAGCTTTACAAAAGATGGCACACATTAGTTGGATTTGTATTATGAATTATTATGTTTCTTTTTGCTTTGGTTCTGGATTCCTGTTCTTAGTTATATTTCTTTGTTATGCGTATACAAAAATAGTATTTCCTTTAATTTTATAGTTTTTTTTTTTTTGTTTGATTTTCAATTAATTTAATTTTAGTCCCAGACTTGGGCTTCATTTGCGTGGCGTTGCAAAGGCGTAGGGCGTGGCCACGGTGCAGCTAGCGGAGGCGCTGGTGCACTTGCAGCTCTTGCCGGAGGGTGCCTTCCGGTTGACCAGGCAGAGGCGTGCATCGGTGCAGCCGCCATTATTGATCTGGCACTGACTCTGGTACTGCGGGCAGTTCTGCTCGACGGCGGTCATGCCGTACATCTTATGGCTGCCAAAGAAGGGCGTCTGTATGGGCTTCTGGCGTACGCCCGCGCTGTCCACGCTCTCCAGTTTCTTGCTGGAAAGGAGAGGTATTTAGAAGATGCAGCTTATACTGTGGATGGCACCTACGTTGTCCAGTCGGTCCAGTAAAATTGATCCTGCGTAAAGGTCAGCCCGAAGGGATAGGAGAGTTCCTGGGATATGGTGCGTATCTGGCGGCTCTGTGCACTGATGCACTCCACCTTCTTGGTGCCCGCGTCCGCATAGCAGAGCTCACCGCTGTGCTCGAGCACCACCAGCGAGTTGGGCAGCTTGACGGCATCGGCGCCCAGCAACAGCTCCCGGCCAGTGCCATCCAGATCGGAGTACTCTATCTTTGGGTTCGAGCGATCCCAGTCGGACCAATAAAGTTTCCTAAAAAGCGATCCAACATTTTGAAGAACAACTCAGCACAAGGCTTCACTTGCTGCACTCACTCTCTGTAGGGATCCACGGCAATGCCACGTGGATTCACCAGCTGCTTGTTTATGATGACAGCGCGTAGCGTGGGATCATCCAGACTGGCCACCTCAATGGTGTCCTTCACCGAGTCCGTCCAGTAGAGCCGGCGCGAGATAACATCAATGGCAATGCCCTCGGGTGATTCAATGTCTGCAATGGATTGTATTATCAGAGCTAGCTTATGAGCTCAAAGATCCTCCGCTTGTTACCTGTGCTTATAAAGATGCGCTCATCTGTGCCGTCGTATTTGGCGCTGATGATCTTCTTGGCGGAAATGTCGCCCCAGTAGACGCGTCCCTCCACGCAGTCCTTGTCCAGGCCAATGGCCATCGAAGCCACTTTAATGGGCTGCACATCGCGTCCATTCAGCGGCACACGCACTATGACCACGCCCTGGCTGACAATCAGGAAGTTCGAGTCGTGTTGTTGACGCTCAAAGCAAACGGAACCATTGCCATAGAAACCTTGGCATGTACAATTAATGATTAAATGGGTAAGTTTCAAATAGTTTTTAACGTTTAAGAATAAGATCATGATAAGCATTTGATATTAATCGAGGATAATACAAGCAAAAACTTTCTAACCGAAGCTTTTTTTTTTCAAAAATTGTTGTTTAAAAAACCATTTATTGAGAACCACTCGTTTAAGTTCTTGATCTATATCAACAGTCGAGTCTATATACTTATATCAATATTTCTGTCTGTATATTTTTACTAGTTTTTCACTTTTATATGAAGGTCCTGTTATAAGTATTTAATTTCCGCCGTGCTGTTCCGACATATTTTTGCTTAGTTTCATGATTTAAAAAACTACATAAGGAAAACTAAGAAAAGCTTGTCTTATATGAGTATTTAGAAACAGTCAATTAAAAGTAATTACCTAACAGAGTAATTGAAGGTAATTGGAGAATTGCAAATATATTTTTTTAATATTCAAAATTCGTCGTTGTTATTTATGAATTTTCTAAATTTTTGGATTACCAAAGGTAATTCAAAGTAATTACCCCATGAAAACTGGTAATTGCTAAAGTAATTAGAGTTTATCAATTTTAAATACTACTATAATACTATACAGCTTATCAATAGACATAGTTGGCGCTGTTTTTATATTCAAGCCGATCAACCAGGGCGACTACACACCAACACACATCAGATCCGGTTTCATTTCATCACAAAATTTGTCGTTATTATATTTTTTGGTAATATAAACTTAAAAACAATAAAAAGCTAAGCAACATGATGCACCCTGTACAGAGTTTGCTAACAAAGGTCACGCGGTTGAGCATGGGACGGATCATAAATCAACCGGTTTCTCCGATCGTTAACGCCAACGCGGCCAGGTGGGCGGTGCACAGCCAGCAGCGTCACTATGTGCAAAGGGTGGATCAGTACCGCAAAAAGACGACCACATTACAGTCGATGCGCGAGTTCTTTATGCATCCGCTGACCTGGGATCGCAACAATGGCTATCTGAACGTGGTGCTGGCCCTGGCAATCTTTAGCTTTGTGTTCATCAACTCGTGCACACCGTGCCCGGAGGATCGAATGCCGCGACACAAGAAAAACGATAATTGAGGGAGAAACTGCCGAACTCACCTGGATTGCAGACGCAGACCAGACCCGAGTTGGTCGAGTGGCATTTGGCATTCATATCGCAGAGGGTGGGATTGTTGAGGCAGTTCTGCTCCTCGATGCAGACGTAGCCATCGCCGCGATAGCCAGCGATGCACTGGCACGTATAGTTCGCAGGATCCCTAAGAAAATGGGTAAATAGGAAATGAAAATGGGCTAGAGGAATGGCCATGAACCTTCAACTCACTCGGTGGGCTCACAGGTAGCGTGAATGCCGCAATTGTTGCGCAGATTACAGGGTATGGGTATGCTGAGACAGCCGGCCAACGCGTCGCCCTGATAGCCATCGATGCAATCACAGAACTGCACGCCCAGCGCCTCATCCCACTTGCAGATGGCATTGGAGCCGCAATAGACGCTGCCGCAGCGCCCGGTGGGCACACAACGGTCGCTCACGTCCCGCTCGTAGGCGTCGTTGCACTGACAGACGCCGCCATCACAGTGGGCGTTCTCGCCGCACTGCTCGGCGCCGTCGCACTCGGGCGCCAGTTGGCAGCGATGTCCATCGCCCGTGTAGCCGCGCTCGCAGACGCATTCGGATTTGCCCAGCTGATCGCTGTAGCTGCAGGTGGCATGCGTGTCGCAGATGTCTGGTTTCTGGAAACGAAGCACAGTTTAAATTGTATATACTCTTGGCAGAGACAACTGATGTGCCTTACAATTGCACAGGACTCCTCGATAGGATCGCAGTTGTAGCCGTCGCCGCTGTAGCCCTCGTTGCAGGTGCAAATGTGACGCAGCTGATGCTCCCACCAGGAGCAGCGGGCATTTATATGGCAATTGGAGTCCACATCGCAGGGCAACAGATCCTCGCTATTATCCACATCGTAGCCGCCCGCATAGCGGCAAGTGCGACTCTCCTCGCTCAGCTCATAGCCCTCGGGGCAGGTGCAGTCGCCCAGTATATTGCAGCGGGGCTCCACCTCGTGCTCGTCCAGCAATATGGGCACACAGCGTCCATGCTCAAACACCTCATCGTGGCCACAGATATTCACACAGCTATAACCATCTCCGGTGAAGCCCTCGCGACAGCCGCAACGTCCCTCGTAACAGTCCGCGTCCGGCGAGCAGCTCTGCAAGAAAACAAAATCAAAAAAAAGTACTATTATCGATTCCTAAATTCTCTGCGGGTGAATTGTAGGTTCGATTTTATTTTACAAATATGCAAATTCCTTACTTGTTTTTTTTTCTAGAAATAATATATTGAGGGGAACTAGCATTAAAGGACATGAATTCTCAAAATTCAAGACTGCCTAAATAAACGCGAAATAATTTAAGTGTGTTGTAGAGGTACATAATTACAGAATATCGAACATGTGCCAATATTTTTGAATAGTGTCCATTAAAATTTATTAAAAAATTGTATTAAATTAAATGAATTAGGTTTAAGCTGGAATAAACCAAACCTAGAGCCGACTCATACCATGTATCCATTGGAAATAGGAAAGCAGGGTGTTCGAGCACGTCCGTATTTCCGTCTGTCCATTTATATTGACGGGCTTATTAAAAGCAAGCGACTCAATTAAATTTTATCAAAATTTAAGTTTGTGTATGGGGCATACATAGATCTGACAGCGTATTTTGCAGTCGAGCAGAGTTCTAACGAGCGGCATGCTAGGGTATGAGTTACTTGTAAGGTCTCTTTTATAGTATTATTCGCTTTTTGTAATACATAATAATAATAACAGTATAATCTAACAAAACTTTAAAGTAAATTAAATTAAATTAAATTGTAGATCTTCGATCTAGGATAAAAGCTTTAAACAAAATTTTCTATTTATGGAAATGTTATCTTGTCACTTACATAGCACTCATCCAAATGCTGTCCGTTGCCCTGGTTTGGTGGATAGTCGACATGTTCGCCCGACTGCTCGTGGTTGGGCTCCTGTGGTCGTGGCTGCTGCTGCTGCTGATCCTCCTCCGTGGGATAGCCCTGGGAGCTGTCAACTGGTGGCTCCGAGGGAGTGGAGTACTCGATATTGTCGGCCGAATTGTTGCGCAGACAGCGATAGCCATTGCCCTCGTAGCCCTCGAGGCAGACACAGCTGAAGCCGCCATCGTTGTTGGAGCAGAGCGCATTCTCATCGCAGACATGGGTGCCCAGGGCGCACTCGTCCAAGTCGATGCAGAGCTCGGCGCCGCGCTCGTCCAGCTGGGCGGCATAGCCATGTCGGCAGTCGCAGCGATAGGTATCCTCGTAGGGCACACAGACGGCATTGTCGCCGCACTGGACGCTGCCGTCGGTGCAGGCATTGGACTCGGCATCGACACCGATCTTGCTGACAGCGCTGGTGCGCAGCGCCTGATCCCGCTCAAAGAAATCGAGAGCGATCTTGGAGACCTTCTGCAGGACACTGCGGTCCGTGGGATCTGCATCGTCGTCGCGCAGGCAGCTCTGGTAGACAATGCGCTGATCCACCTGGAAGCCAATTACGCGCTGCTCCTCGACCAGCTCCAGCTGGTGGGACTGCAGAGACTGCAGCTCGCCGGGTCGCACAAAGCGATACTCCTCCGTATAGTCCGACAGATGCAACGTGGCGCTAGGCGATACGCGCGGCACTGCGCCCGACAGTTCGATCTTGACGGACAGCTGATCCCAGTAGTTCAATCCCTCGAAGGTCTGGTTAACTAGCAGCAGCTCGCCCGTCTCGTACTGGATGCGCGAGATGTGCTCGTAGTTGCCACCGGTTAGCTCGTAGCCATTGGCCGCCCCGTTGATCGACTTGGCGAACAGCCAGCCGACGGTGGTCAGCAGCGGCAGGACCAGACGCAGCTGTGCCGCCTGCTCGGCGCTCACCGGATTGATGGTCGTGTAGGTGCGCGCATCTGTGGTCACCACATAGGACTGCAGCTTAGCCTCCTCGTCCACGGCCTGGCCATTTAACTGGCCGGCCAGTGTGCCGGTCACGCGCATGGGCAGATCATTGGCCAGACAGGAGCGTCCGTTGCCATAGTAGCCGGGCTCGCAGACGCAGCAATAGCCCTCCGACTTGTCATAGCACTGGGCATGGCTGTCGCACTGGTGTCCATTGCCGTTGCAGCTTTGTGCCAGTGCCGGGGACTCGGTGCGTGTCTCCAGATTGTTGGGCGCCAGCACATTCTCGCCGGGATTCAGTGGCGCCACCTGGTAAAGCCAAACGCCGGCCACGCCCAGATTGGTGCTCTCACTGAGGAAACGTGCCTGGACAAATGAAAGGTAGGAATTATATATTTACTAGAGTCTTTTCTTGTAAATGGAAGAATATTTTTGTCTGGTCCGAAACCCACTTTAAACTTGATTTAAAGCAAAGAGAAAAACTTGAAAGCATAGATAAAATTATACTAGATTCTGAACATCTTTAAAGGCATTTTAGAAATTGTTCGTGGACCAATAGATATTTGTAGAATTTTAAATCATGTTCTAGCATGTTTCAAAAATGCAATTCGTTTACTTAGCTCCCGAAAATAGTTAGTTAGTTGTGTTTTGAACTTACATTCTCCGAGCCGGAACCATTCAGATTGTAAAAGCGTCCATCTTCGGCAACGAAGCCCGCCTGGGCGCGTATGTCGGGCAATCCCAGCTCGCCGGCCTCGCCCTGCAGCCAATTGAGTCCGCCCTGTGGGTAGATGAACTGCACGAATGTTTGCGAGTCGCCAACAATGAGGGCCACCTGGAAGGTGTTCAGCCTGTCCGTCTTGGAGTTGAAGTAGCCCACGTTGCGCCAGGTGGCGACAATCAGTTGCCTGGCCTCGAAGTCCGTCCAATCGCTGTACGCATAGCGCACCAGCTGCTGGGCACGGTTCAGGGAGTCGGGATCGCGCGTCTCAAACAGCGAAATGGAGCTATCCTCGCCGCTGTTGGTGGTGTCCACGTTCGAGTAGAAGGCCGCTATCGAGGGATACTCGAGCGGAAAGGGCTGGTTCAAGTACTCGGCGAACTCCACGTTGAATGTCAATATGCCATTCGTGTTGATCTGCAAGAAAGGAATGGGAAGTGAAGTGGATGCTTGGGAAAAGGAAGTGCATATGGCGCATCAATTAGCCGGTTCTTGTGTGAAGTGCCAACAGGCCACTTAACATTTAACGGCCAATGCGCCTGGCGGAAACTAAACAACAACAAATCATTAACAAGCGCGCCTCAATGATCATTAGAGAGTACTTCCTCCCTCCCTCGCACTCTCTCCCACTCACTTTCTCCTCTAATGACTTTCTTAATTGAGTTGCCTGTCGGCAGCCGCAACACGCCTCTAAAATTAGCGCTAGAAAAAAAAAAACAACAAAAGACTCTTTTGTGCCGCCCGCCGATGCTATCCAGCTGCGTGACCTGCTCCTGTTTACACAGCTCTTTCACTCCAATTGGCATGCCAATTGGATTTTATTCACATTTACATTCTCATTCCCCATTGGCCGTTTCCAACTCCCATTTCTCAATTGCACAACTTTGCAGCGTTGCGCATTTTTATTTTTAACTCAACGAGCGCATTCATTTTGCCTAAATAAACAAATATATTTGGAATGTTTTCGGAACTGGAGCACAGGTGTGTTTGTACACTGGTCCAGTCCCATTCCCACATAGTTTTGTGGTCGAAAACAGATTTTAGTAATTACCACCACGGGATGCTGCACTTCATCTTCAGCTCAGCAGGTTGAAAAGTGTCGAAATATTTGCCATAGCTACAAGATATACATATCTACACAAAGAAGTGAAGGTGTGCAGACTCGTGGCTGTTCAGGTATTTAAGCATTTTATCAGCTAATTTATTTGGGATTTTGTATAAAAAATATTTGGCAGACTTTTTAATGGTATTTATATAAAAACAGATAAAAAAATATACATATATCAGTTGAATATAACAAAAGCAGAAAATCAAGAAAAATTCAATTAATATCTAAAAATATTGTTTCAACTTTGGGTCAATGCACTTCATTGGCGCAGGATAACTAAAGTTATATTTTTATTGCCAAACTCATTTAATATACTGAGTACAAGACTTTATAAAAACTGGATCATTTTTAAAAACTATGCAAATATTATTACTTAAAAATCTCGTCTTAAAATTACCAATTTTAGTCACAATTTATTTTTAATTCCGAGGCCTTTCTTCCTTTCCTTTAATGCCAAGCAAAATTTAAACAACATTCTCTATGGGTATACATATTGAGATGCAGCTTTAAACTATATTTAAATGAGAACTACTTTGGATCTATTAAAGTAGTTCTCATTTGACTTCTATCTTCTATTCTATTATATTCTTCTTCTATTATACTTTTTGCGTCAGTCTTAAACGTTTTACAGGCAGCACAGCGTTTTTAACAAGGCAAAGGTCAGCTATAAATCCCATTTGATTTTCCTTTTATCAAAGGCAATTACCCGGCTTCTCTTGATCTTAAAGCGAGCAAACTTCAGACAGTGGATTTGAACTGGCGACCCACTGCTTTTTGTTAGCTTTAGTAAAAATTGTTACCTTGAGGATAAACTCTTTCGTATTTAGTGATTGATATATTGACATGTTTGTTGCTTCGCATTCACCTGAATTTCGATTTTAAAATAAATTCAACCGCGTAACCTCAATTTACAAATTTCATTCCATTTTACTGACTTGTGAAGATTCGGACATATCTATTAATAGAGCCCCAAAGGGGTATTAAACATTGATGGGTTCAACAATAATTAAACTGAATAATGTGCTTTAGCTGGAAAAAAGACGCTTTGGTTATTTCTGGTCAAAAGAGTTCTCGAATATTTATGCATTTCTATGGCCATAATAATGCCACACATTTTGTGCCGCGTGCTATTTTTCGACGTCAGACACATAAATTCAGTTAATTAACTAACAAAAATAGGCGACACTTTCGCCTCGACGCTGCGCTAAGAGCAGATCATAATTTTTAGATGTTCAACAAGCAAAAGAATCAAGAATCACAAAGTAAAATGCCTTCACGTAGGATTGTCGACGAATAAATACCCTTCAAAAAAGCAAAACAACAACTAAATAAGATATTCAAGTAAGACGAAGATTTAAATTGCCTTTCTGATTAAAACTGAGTAACAAGAAACTGACTAAATTATTTAGTTCCAGAAAGAAAGAGAATTCATTGAAGTTAGATTAAATTATGAAAATATCCGTGGCATTTAAATAAAGTCGATAAAATATATATAAAAAAAACTTTTTGATTTTTGTCAAGATTTTTTGTGGAAATTTTTCTCGCTATTTTCTTTTTATTTTAATTAAATTATAAATTCTAGATTTCATTATACCAAAAAAATGTATGGCATACACATGATATATGATCGCATATACTTATATATATGCCAAAAAAAAATTCACTTTTGCCAAGTTACCTGAAGAAACTAAAACATTTATCTCGATATTTTCTTTGCATATGGCATTTATATGATATCGAAGATATAGTAATTAGTTATTGACAAACTTTATTTAAGAAAAAAAATGGCTAACTTGTGTCAAGGCTACTGCAAAACTTATATCAATATTTTCTTTGCCCTGTAGTCACATTGAACTATATATTAAATAAAAAATGGTCTTAAGATATCTTTCACTTAGCTTCATTAGAAGTAAGATTATGATAAATAGCTATTCATCACATGATCAGCTATGTGATATACTGATGTCATCGGTCCAATAAATATGATTAAAGATTTATTTAGCTTATGTCCTCTAACACACGTCTAGTTGAATTGGAAATGTGCTCAGTTAGGGTATTCAAAAAAAAAAGGCGGCTAAAAGTTTGGGTGTGTGCCAAGGCGGGCTAGCGACATCATCGCGAACATCAATGGGTTGGACTTGTTGGCTATTTATTGTAGCGTCTGTGCCTAAAAAGATTGCCATGGACCACCCCCAAGTGTTTTATTATATATATAATTTTTTTTTTGTTCTTATTTTTTGTCATGTTTCTGGTATTCGGGTTGAGTGCGTGCGAATTGGTTTTGCGCTTTAGCCGTAGCACAAAATGTATCTTTCAGATACTTTTATATTTTGTGCCCAGCAACATTAGGTTGATTACACAGAATCTTGTGTGTCGAAATGCGACGGAGGCTGTCATGTTTTGCCGAAAATTAATGTCGATTTCAGCTATTAATAAATCCCCCAACCCCTCACACCCACACACACGCACACACACACGCACACACAATGAAACTATTGAACTAAGCAACAATGTGCATGAGGCCGATTGATAGGCCTCTGAGCTTATCGCTGCGTTCTTATCAGTCGGGCGAATGCAAAAATTCATTCAGCACAAATTGCGTATATGAACAGATATAGCTACTATATAGTCTAATACTCACAAAGATCTGTTCGTATTTCTCGCCATAGAAATTGATGGGCTGCTCCAATTGCAGCAGCGCCTGTTCGCTGTTGCCCTTGGCCAGATATTGTATGCTGCCGCTGTCCTCGACAAATTCGTAGAGCTCGTTGGAGCGCAGACTGTCCAGGTAATGCTCATATTGGCCTCTGACCTGGCACAGGCCCAGCAGCAGCAGCAGCAGCAGCGGGCATAATTTTTGGTAAACAGTTTTCATTGCAAAGAGCAAAGTTTGAATTTTATTTGATGTAAATGCGAATTTCTTAAATTGAATTTTAAGAAATTCTTGTTTTAATTATTTTTCTGTGCGCGTTTCACAATTTTGCGAGCAGCATTTTCACACACACAGTCAAACACACACACACGCGCGTGTAATGTAAGCAACTCGTTTTGGTTCCAAAAATATCGAATTTATAAATAACGAACCGGCAGACAACTGAGTATCTATCGTCTATAGCTACACTATACGTATGTCTATATATATTTTCTTTTTGGAACTGTGTCTTGGAACGGCGACACCAATCGCCTCTTGTCTCCTGTCTTCTCTAGCTTTCGATTCGATTCGATTCTTTGGCCGAGCAAAGCGAACCGCACGCGCTGCCAACAAATTCTTGACTGAATCGCAGCTCTGCGCTGTGGGATGCTCTTCGGTTCGGTTCGACCGACCGACCGTTACATTTAGCAGGCACAAATGTGTGCGTGTGTGTGCGTGTGTTTGTGGGTGTGTGTGCGTGCCTGGAGTCTTCAGGAACTGTTAACATGCATGTTAAGTGCATGCTAAATGGCATCCACAGCAAATGCAGGCTGTTAATGCAAATGGCATCCAATGCAGATTCGCTGCAGAGGGCCAAAGTTAACAGCGAGTGTAAGTGAGAGAAAAGAGAGTGACAGAGAGAGGGAGAGAAAGAGAGAATGTAAGAACTGATCCAAAAAGACACCACATTTTTTTCTGATTTGCTTGTTTATTTATGACTCTTTGCTGTTGACATTTATGTTCCACACGCATTAAGATCGGAAATATTTTTGCAAACATTCAACTAAATTGAGAAAATTAAAAAAAAAATATTTTTCCATATGGAAAGGATTATATTAAAATTTGTATAGGAACAAATGGTTTTACATTAAAGTTTTCAAATGAAATACGTTTCTATATCAAAAATTTTCGTATTGCGAAAGATATGTTTTTTATTTGTAATAACGAAAACTATTTTTGCAACAAAAACAATTTTTGTGTCATTTTTTAAGAAATGAACGAAATTTTTATTACTAGGAAAATTATTAGAACTTCCTATTTTCTGAATTATAAATCGTATCTTCAGGCAGGATATGCCCTCCAAAGTCATAAAATTTTAAAGATCAATTTCGAAGACAAGCCTTGGAATTGTTTTAGGTATTTCAACAAGTCCATTGATGATCTCATGAAGACATTGCCTATGTCATAGTAAAGCAAACTTTTTAATGAGCGTATGGCGCAAAGAATTGACATACTTATGCTGACCAGACCCGCAACATAAATGTTCTTTTAACCAACTGAAGATCATAGCCTCTCCTCTCCCGTAGCACATGCTAGGTGTGTTTTCTTGATAGCCACAAGGCGTGGCGATTTTAGGGCGACCCCAAAAAATGGGATCAAAATAAAGCCACACTGAGGCTGAGGCGCGTTCCAATTCCGCCGAATTGAACTGCGGGCGGGAGGCGGCACGTGCCGCTTGATTGCCTCCGCTGTGGCTGCGACTGTGCTGCATGCCACCATGAAGCGCCTCGGCAGACGCAGACGCAGTCGCTCTCCCTTTGCGGGCTCTGCTCCGTAAAAATAAACAAATGGGAACTTCTGCGCCTGGGCTGATGGTGATCGTCTTTGGGTTTTTTCATGCACAATAATGATCATCTACTTGGGCTATTTATGATGTATTTCTCGGTTAATTAGTTGCAGCTGGTTGCAAGGGCAGGGGTGGGGCATCTGCCAGTTGCTTCCGCATGCATTCCCATCAGTCCATCATATGTATGTGTCCAACTCGAAAGTGATTTTCCCTTTTACTATATTTGGCAGCAGGGCGCGTCTGTCACAAGCATATATATCCATATCCATATATATATAGTAGCTGTGCCGCTTGATCGCTGATGGATGGTTGCCTAGCCTTCATCATTAATCTTCAGGGAGTCGCACTGCGTTCCAGGAATTAGAGCGGAACGCTGCAACACTTGGGAACTGCATAGGACTGCATGGTCGGCACAGATCCAACATATCTAAAAGCAACCTTAATTATCTGCCCTGCTGCCGCAATTTGGAGCTAAATAATTAAAAACTTAAATTAAGCACGTTATTAAAAGTTTCGTAATTGTTTTAGGTTACGCCCAATTAGCCGCCGGGGACGGCCTTTAAAACTCCCGCACCTCATTGGCTTTTGCCAAAATACGTTCGCGATGTGGTTGAAACTGTTGTGCGCCTTGTTCTGGCTTCGAGTGGTGCTCCTGAAGCCACAGCTAGACGAGGATTGTGAGCTCTATGCGACAGATACCATGGTGAGGCTTGGGCAGGGGGAAGTGGAAACTTATCTTACTGCTCTCTACTTTCTAGCACGACTTTTGCTGCGAACTGCATTACGAAACGCCGCAGTTTAGCGACTGCCTAACGGACTGGCATGACAAGATACACTTCACCAACGAGCAGGAGGAACAGATCTTTATGTTCGTGAGTATTCTCCCTTGCTAGTCAAGGTAAATTGCCCTGGGTATGCAGTCTTAGGTCAATTGCATGAAAAAGATTAAGGGTGAATCCCCTTCACAACCATTTGAGTCGGGGGCAAATTATATGATAGTCTAGTCTAGACGGTGTAGGGTATGTAAAGGACTTGATAGAGTTAATTCACATCCTTGGTTGACTTATTAAAGAGCAACAGTTGGGATTAGTTAGGAAAATATAGTTAGTGCTGAACTTCTATCTTACGGAACATTAAACTTTGCACAAACTTTATTATTTTGCACAAGACGGCTAGAACTTACAATTTTTCCCTCTATATATTTTATTTTATACCCCTGTAGAGGGTATAAATAAGTCATGAAATGTGTAACGCATAGAAGAAGACATCTTCAAACCCATAAATTATATAGATATCCTACATCAGCATCTACAGCCGAGTTGATAAAGCCATGCCTGTCAGTCCATCTGTCTGTCTCTCAGTCTTAAAGCTATCATCTTAAAATTTTGCAAAAATCCGTCCTTCTGTTGCAGGCAGAACATATGTCATGTGCGGCCGGGTCGGAATACTATATCATATAGGGGCCGTAGGAAGGGTCGGTCGAAAATTGGGTTCCTTTATGGAGAACTTTATTGTTCATCAAGATTTCTATATTAAACTCGGCATTTATTAGTAAAAAAAATGATTGAATCAAGAATGTTTGATTAAAGGGAAAGTTGCTGCTGGAATTATGGAATTTTGCAATTTGTGGGATAAGACCAGATCATATATTTCTTGATTTTTAAAGAATATCATCGCAAGTTAACCTGCCTTATATATTATTATTAGACTGACATTTGCTCTAAGACTGGCGAGCATGGCCAAATATAATCTATATCTGACGAGCTTACATATTCCAAGTTTTAATTCCCCAGCTTGCACACTTTTAAAGATAGCCCAATGAAAGTCTGCCTAATCTGACTTAACATTTACCCTACTTAACATTTAGCTAATAGATACCCTCTCTTGCAGTGCACCGCCGAATGTACATACAACAGCACCGAATTTCTGGCCGCCAATCGTCAATCTCTGAATCTGCAGCACGTGCGCGAGCATCTGGAGAACGACTTGGCCGACGCAGCGGATGAGGCGCTGCTCTACGAGACCTACGTCAAGTGCGACAAGCATGGTGCGTAACTCCAGCAGCTGCTCAAACCTCCAATAATCCTTATCAAATCCTCTCCAGCTCTCACGCTGCTGAGTCACAAGGGCGTGCAGTCCCTGGCCAAGCGTCTGTCGCCGCACGGCTGTCATCCGTATCCCGGTCTGGTGCTGGAGTGCGTGGCCAACGAGATGATCCTCAAGTGTCCGCCCAAGCGCTTTCACCAGACACCGCAATGCCGTGTCGCACGCGACTTTTTGCGCGAGTGCATGCAACATTTGAAATATGCATAGACACTGCGAGGCAGCCCTATTGAAGTCTACAGATGTAATAAAAGCAAGTGTTAAAAGCAAGAATTCCGGCACAAGATTGGGCAGGCACAGGCAGCCTCCAAGAAGTAGGTATATATGGAGAATTTAACCTAGTTGTATGAGTTGGCAGTTGCTTACAAATTTAATCGCTTTCTAACGTTTATAGTTTACATACGGGCTAAATTACGCTAGAGACTAATGTATAGCTAGACGGGCTTAACCAGATCTCCCTCCAGCTGCAGTGCATCCGACTTTTTTAGCTGCTTGTCAAAGCGTTTGTCAAATTTCTTTGCCTGCTTCTCGCTTAGCTCCGTGACGGCCAAGTGCTTTGTGTACTTCTTCAGCAGCTTCTTCCTGAGCTTCTCCTGGAAAATGCCATCGGGCTGCTTGGACACCAGCTTCAGCAGCTGCGCAGCCCAATCAAATTCGGCGGTCTCCTCCGCCACAGTAGCAACAGTTGGTTCTGCTGCTGGCTCAGCTGCTTTCGCTGCGCCATTCTCGAGCTTGGACTTCTTTTTGGGCGGCGCTTCCTGCTCCTGCTTCTCTTGTGCAGCTTCTGCCACCTTGGCAGCCTTGGCCGCCTCCAGTTGCGCTTGCTTGGCCTCCTTCATTTTGTTCAGCTCCTTCTCGAGTATGTCCCACACCTGGGTTGCCTGCTGGCGTGGCATGCGCATGCAATTGCCCACAAAATTCTCGAACTTTGCTTTCTTGCGGGGTACGTTGTCCACGCTCTGGAGTCGCTGGAATGCGCTGCGCACGGACGCCGTCAACTCGTACTCTTTGCTGTCCAGTATGGCGCGTATGATGTCCATCCAGCTCTCCTGTTTCTGGGCGTTCTTGTTCTTCGGCTCCTTGGGCACAAAATTCTGGTTGGAGTACTTCTGTGCCTCCGAGATACACTTGGTGTGCGCAACGTACTCCTCATCGTAGAAATCTTTGAGGCAATCCATGCACGACACGTTTTTTGTCTTTCCGCGGCATCGTGTCTGATAGTGCTTCTCCACAGATGGCTTTTTAACGGACTCGCCGCAAATGTTGCATGTAAAGAAAACCATTTTTGTTGAGGATTTCCAGACCGACAAACAGACGCGGTGAGTCCCACGTGCGTGCTCTGGTACGTGTTGTGCATGTCGTTAATCGATAGTTAGACACCGATATTGACGTTCTGTTTTTCGAACGGTTCTGCCACTGTTGACCTGATGCGCTGACAAGTGACCGCAAAAGTTCCTAACTAGCTTAGGCCGGCCAACTGTTGTGGGTAAGATATCGGTATTCTGACTATCGATACGCGTCTACCAGCTCTGTTAAGGTTTGAAAAACGTGGGCAAGTGTGGTAGCATTGAGCTTTCGTCTGACAGCCGTGCACTTTTGCCATCTCTAGTTGCCAAACAGCTGCTTCACGCACGGTAAACGCGAAATGTGGCTGGCAATGGTGAAATTGCAACGATTCGTGCCGCATGGAACGCTACGCTTTTTGACAGAAAACTGCGCCAGGATGAGTAGCCAGGTAGTAACAGATGCCAAGGATCCGCTTGGGCAAAAGCCGCCACTCAAATACGAACGCCAGCCGAATGTGCTGCGCAAAAAGTTAAGCTCTGTCGTGCCGGGCTCTGTGAATCTGCAGGTGCTGGGCGCAGGCGCCAACGGAGCACCCGGCGCTGTTTATCTGTTCACCGACCAGTCCCGTTACCTGTTCAACTGTGGCGAAGGCACGCAGCGGCTGGCGCACGAGCACAAGACGCGTCTGTCTCGTCTGGAGCACATCTTTGTGACGCGCAACACGTGGACAACAGTGGGCGGGCTGCCCGGCCTGGCGCTCACCATACAGGATGCGGGCGTGCGCAATGTGGGCCTTCATGGACCACCGCATCTGGACACCATGCTCCAGAGCATGCGTCGCTTTGTGGTGCTCAAGAATCTGCAGATGCAAACAATAGACAGCACACTGGGCGCCCAGTTTGAGGACTCCATACTGAGCGTGCAGCCGGTTGTGCTGCGTAGCGAGCAGCAGCCGGCGCAGCCCGTACTCAGCTATATATGCAAGCTGAAGCCACGCCCGGGCGCGCTCAATCTGGTCAAGTGCGTGGAAGCGGGCGTGCCGCCGGGTCCGCTGCTGGGACAGCTCAAAAATGGACAGGATGTGACCCTGCCCTGCGGCAAAGTGGTGCATTCGGTGGATGTAACGGAGCCAGGCGAAACGGCCCTCTCCTTTGTCTTCATAGATGTGCCCAGCGAGCAGTACCTAAACTCCTTACATGCCCAGGCCGAACAGTACAAGCAGCTGGCCGCCTCGGAGCTAACTGAGGTGGCGCTCGTCGTGCACTTTAGTCCACCCGAGCTGGCAGCTAATTCGCATTATAGCAGCTTTATGACGGCCAACTTTTCGGCCGGCACCCAGCACATTTATCTCAACTCGCCGCAGAATCCCTTCTCCGGCTATGCGGCCGCACATCGCATTCAGTATCAGCTGCATCAGCTGGCGCCGCGCATCTTTCCACTGCTCGCCGAGTCCACAGACCTGCAACACAGCTGGCAGAGCACGAAGCTTAGCCACAGCCTCAAGAAAACAAAGCTGGAAAACGGACACGGGATGGAGGAAACAAAGAAAGACAGTGAGGAGCCCATAAAGGAATCGAAGCAGCAAGAGGAACAGGGCGTTGTTTCCATGACCAGCTTTCATTTAAGGCCCAAAAAGGGTGAGTGAAAAGAATCATCTATATCATATCATATCGTGTCATATCATATCATATATCATATATTATATCATATCATATCATATCATATCACATATCACAATCCAATAATCTTCACATATTCACTTGGTAACTTCTTAGTATATCACATGAGTTGCCCAAGATAGATTTTTGGGAAATACTTATATATACCATAATATAATGGTAGCTTTTGGGGATCATAGTGCAGGGTTTTTTTTTTTGTTGATCTATCTGTCTCAACCTGGGAGAGATTCCTTTTTTGTTATGCATTTGCGAAAATGTTTTTAAAAGTTGGGTAAATTGTGGATATATTTTTTTTTAACCAAAAATGTATGTTTACATATTTTTAAAAATTGTTCTTGTTGGGGGGTTTTTTTTTTTGGTGCTTGGTTCAGCACTTTTAATGGAACGTTTTAACTTTTCTCTTTCCATAATTTGGGATTTATTTAGTTATGTGTTCCTCAGGAGTTCGCTAAATTTTAATTTTTTGGCAACTCTTCTGCTGAAGTCCTGTAGAATCTATCCCCAATACTCGTGCTTGCTCTCGGAGTTCTTTTAGCGGGTACACTATTCTATATGAGAACTCTCCCATATTTCTGTTTTCTCTTCAACAACTCTCCGAATGTGAACCTTCTTTGGGATGGACCGGCTCTGCTTACCCACGATTTTTAGTGTTAAGCTCACATTTGTTCTCTTCACGTTCGAATCCGGCTTCTCACGTGCATCTATTTACCACCTGCTTCATACACTGCCACGCTTGCTTCATCTCATGGAATCTAATTAACAAATATTCTGACTGGAACCTGATTAATTTATCCCGAACCCGCAAATCTTTACGCTACAGGATTGGATCGCATTCTGGAGGCCAAGTTGACTCCCGAGGAGTACATCAAGGAGACGCATGCGGTGCCTGGCTTCACGGAGCTGCTCGCTCAGCTACAGGCCGACATCCAGGATACATTGAAGACGCCGAGCAACAACTATCCGCGCATCATATTTCTCGGCACGGGCTCCTGTATACCCAACAAAACCCGCAACGTGAGCTCCATTCTTATCCAGACCGCCGCGGAGGCGTTTATGTTGCTCGACTGCGGCGAGGGCACGTACGGCCAGATCGTACGTCTCTATGGACGTGAGCGTGCGCGGCAGGTTATGCAACAGCTGCAGGCGGTTTATGTCTCCCATCTGCATGCGGATCATCATATTGGACTCATTGGGCTGCTGCGCGAGCGACAGCGTTTGGCGCCGGCGTCGCCTTTGCTTCTCCTGGCGCCACGTCAGATCGAACCCTGGCTGCAGTTCTACAATCGTCAAATCGAGCCCATCGCGGATGCCTACACGCTGGTGGGCAATGGCGAGCTGCTGGAGCAGCCGCTGGCCGGCGAGCAGGTGGAGCAGCTGGGCATTGCCTCGATAGCCACCTGCCTAGTGCGGCATTGCCCGCATGCATTTGGCGTGAGCCTCACGCTGCAGGCGCAGCACGAGGGGACGCCCATTAAGGTCACCTACAGCGGCGACACAATGCCCTGTGCAGATCTGGTGGAACTGGGACGCAACTCGACAGTGCTAATACACGAGGCCACCATGGAGGATGACCTGGAGGAGGAGGCGCGCATCAAGACGCACAGCACCATCTCGCAGGCCATACAACAGGGCCGGGATATGGAGGCCAAACACATCATCCTGACCCACTTCTCTCAGCGCTATGCCAAATGCCCGCGCCTGCCCAGCAGCGAAGACATGCAGCACGTGGCCATTGCCTTTGACAATATGCAGGTCACCGTGGATGACCTGCAGCATTATCACAAGCTCTATCCGTCGCTGCTGGCCATGTACGCCGAGTACACCGAGGAGCTGGAGCAGCGAGCGGTCAAGCGCGAGCTCAAGCAGGAAAGAAAACGCAAATTGGCACAAACGTGATCAGAGCTTTTAGTTTATACGTGACAGACATCGAGAAATCTTTTGTTACCAAATGTTGCCATAAAATCTGTGACAATGTTTATACGAGCTTGCGAATTGTGCTAAGATATTAATGTATATAAAGCGACTGATAACTGGCACGATAAGGAAACTTAAGGAAAGGCTTGCTTTAGCTAAACTTACTTTTTTGAAGGTACTCCATACACATTACGAGTACAAAATACATAAAATAAAATGTAAATTATCTGCTGAAACAACGTTTATGCGAATTGTTAAATTGTGATAGGCTCATGGTATTTATCAGCATCGAATACGCGAAATCAAAGAAAACTACAAAAAAATAAATAAACCTGAAGTCATGATTTAAGCCAGCTCAATTTGTGTATTTCTTCTTATAAATATTCAAATATTTATAATACGAAATTTCAAAAAATTAATATTTCATCTCATTAAAACAAGCTTTGTATAAACCTAATTGCATTAAAGAAACGTAACTTATTTATATCTTATATTTATGGTCAACTTTATTATTTATAATAAACCACAAAAAGCGTTTAATCTTGATAACTGTCACGTGTAAACAATTTCCCTTGCACTTTTTATATTTAAGATGATTGTTAAACAACCTACAATAAATAAACTGTATTTATAATTAGAAATGAAAACAATTTATTTGTTTTTGGTGTTTGTTTATTATGATTATTTTTTTTTGTTTTGTTTTTGTTTATTTTATTTACTTAATACGCATTCGCTTGCAACAGGTGTCTGTGTAATAAACGCTCGTAAAATTACAAATTTAGTTTTTCAATAATATTATGTAAATGTATAATAATCGCACATTAATTTATTAGCATTGTCGACACAACAGAAGGGCACTTGTTTCTATGCATTTATTATTAAATTTAATTATTTATTTATTTCCCTTTTTAGTCAATTAACATTTTATATTTAAGGCACTTGGTGTTCAACGTTTTCAAATGGCGCAAAATCAGTTTTGATTCCTACGCGAAAATCATAAATTATTTCTCTGATTATTTTTTTTTTGTTTTTTTTTTTTCAAATTAATTTTTTTTGGAAATTAGCTGTGACTAGTTAAAATTAGTAGGTAAACGAAAAAATAAGTTTATAGAAAAAAATATCTTAGCTTCAACTTTTGGATATTTGGTGTGCATGTGTGTGTGTGTGTGTGTATGTGCGGGCTGTGTGGTTCAAACTTCTTGTTAATATTTTTGTGTATTTTTTTTTATAAATAAACATAATTTCAACATTTCTTTAAAAATAAATAAATAGTTGTACATTATTTAAATTAAAAGAGAAACATCGGCAAAATTAAGCAGCTGATATTGATTTTTTTAACAACAATTGAAATTATAATGTTTTATAATTCATATAAATAATTAATAATTGCTTTTGCCTTGGCTGGGCTTTGGACTACAAACTCATTCAGTTTAGAGCTGAATTTCTTGCATAGTTTACTTTCCTTTTTTCTCTCCACTTGTGGCCAAAGCAATAGACAAATATCGTAACGGTTCGTTATGCTCCTTCCACCATTTCGAGTTTTCAGTTTTCAGGCACGTTCCACATAGTTGCCGGGGAATGTGCCAAAGCAGCCCGTCCGCTGCGAAGTGCCCACGAACCAGCCATCGTCGCACTTCTCCAGCACCTGCACCAGATCCCCCTCAAAGATCTCCAGCTCATCGGAGTTCTGTGGTCGGTATTTGTACAGCGCACGATAACTGTGATTCCAAAATACAAGAAATTAATTAACTAATTGAATCTTCGATTATATTTGCTCGATACGCACGTCAAGGGCTCCGAGCTGGTGTCCACGTGGAGGGCGTCTGTCTTGTGCAGCGTGCGGGTCTCCTTTAGTATGCCATTCGGCGGATGTGCTCCGTTCTGGGTCAGCGTATTGAACTCGTTGTTGATATTTGTGCGTAGCACGTCCAAATTTGGACGCAGATTCGTGGTACTCTGAGTGTTGATGACGGTTGTGGTTCTGGCTGCAATATCTTCTGCACCAATGTCGGTTAAGACCTGAAAAAATTATATAAAATGTATGGGTTAATTAATGTGTGTAATGAAAATAAATAGAAATATATGAAGAACTTAAACGACAGGGGCAAACATTGATGTGGACATGGAGAACACGTTACAACTAATTAACTAAGTGTGTGACCTAAAAGAATATAGAGAAAAAGTTGATATTGAAAAAGAAAACTTGATTCGATAAGAGTTGTTAAAGATTTCTGCAAAAGGAATAGAAAGGAGTCGCAAGACCTGGAGAAATTCTTAACTTTTAAGTTGAATGGATAATATAAACAGAAAATCCTGTTGCTTGAGATGCCACTTAAAGCAAGGGAAAGCCTGGAGAAAACATTGCGTCTTTGGAACTTAAAGTAGACAAGGAATACAATATAATTACAATTTTCTTAACTTTCAGGCTTGTTATGGCTTAGTAATTTGAGGGATCAAAAAGGGATATGTGAATCTTAAGTATATAACAAACGTATGCGCTCAAATGAAAATGGAGGCTACCAGAATTGTTTCCTTATTTGACCAAATTTGCAGCTTACACTTACCTCCACATAGGAGACGGGGAAAATGCCCTTGCGATTGGCTATTTTGCCCTCAAACCAATTGCCGTCGACGCGACGTGTCAGTGTGACCAGCTCGCCCTTGTTGAGGGATAGCTCCACGCCGGACTGCGCCTGGAAGTTGTACTTGGCACGTGCCTGACCCTCCGATGGACGCTTGCCAGGCGTGCGGGCGCCATCCCGACTGACAATCTGTGGCCAAGAAATGGGACAGTAAATGGGAGTGGCAAATGGAAATGAAACTAGGGGATTTACCTCGACATAGCTGGCCGGCAGCAGTCCAATCATGGCATTGTGCTCGCCCTCATACCAGTTGGGATCGATCTGTCGCCTGATGTAGATGGTGTCGCCCTTGCGGAACGAGAGCTCCCTATAAACAGAGAAGATTTCTTATTATAGTATTATTCATTTGATTGAAAAGTTTGTTTATTGCTTACTTGGAGGTCTGTCCCTGGAAGTTGTAGAGGGCCCTGGCAACTGTTTTGGGCCCCACCAGAGATTTGAGCGTTACGTCTGTGGGGAAATCATCGTAACGATTCAAGGCAATTGGCGATTTCTGTGAGGGTGTAAAATTGTCGGTGTGTCGTCGCGAATTCATGTCCTGCAGCTCCTGTAGATACTTGCGTCTGCGCTCCTCCTGATACAATTTCTGCATATGCTCCGCTTGTCGTATAGCTAATTCCTCCTCCGATATGTTCTGCTTGTACTCATGCCTTATCGGTGTCTTGAAGTGTATGTTCACGTCTGTGTAATAATAACAATTTGGCAATGTCTTAAATAAATATCAGGTAATATGGGCAAAAAAAATCTTTAGATTAAGCTCAGTTTCTGTGGAGGGTTCCAGTCCTGGACCTAAGCTCAAAACTTGGCTGATTATTATTATTAATGAACGACGCTAAAAATAATAAACAAATGGGGGGAAACGACTCGTAGGGCAAGTGTAAGACGAGCTAACCGCAAAAAATTGTCGCCGCTATGTTACGAAACCAGCCGCAGCTCTTATCTGTAACTGTAGCTGTATCTGTATCTGTAACTGTCTATGTATCTGTATCTGTAGCTGTAGCTGCAGCTCTATCTCTATCTGTAGCTAGTCTGTGCTTGCCAATTGGTAAGCAAATAAACAACCTTAACTGACGCTCGCTCCGCTGCCTGCCTGCTGATGAGCGCACGCCTCGCTAAGCAGATAGATAGATAGAGACCAAAGCTGCAGATAACCCAACCATCCAGCAAAGTCCAAGTGGGAAAGTAGTAAAACAATAGTAATATACATAAGCACAGTCTTCACAGTCAATTGAATTAACGTTTCTCATCGTATCGAAAATGAGCCACAATTGAAGCTAATGCGCATTAGCATCCACTGATAGCTAAATGAGCCGCCAATTGAAACAAAAGTGGTGCCAACTGGGCGTGTGCTTTGAGTGGGTGGCGGCTCACTTACTGACGGGCAACCGGTCAAAGTGGTTGTTAAAACAATTTCTTAAAGTAGCCAGAGTATTGCTCAAGCTGTGCTCAAAGGGTTTGTTTGTTTTATGGGCTTATACAAGAGCACGCTCATGATTAGCTTCAAATGATATTGGAACCCCTATATCATTTGAAAATTAAGCAAACGGTCAATTAAGAATTGTACAATAAATTAATTGTAATCCATCAGTTGGAATTTACGAACAATTTTTCTTATGAAGATTAGAGGGCTACAAATTTACCATATAAAAATGTCAATTCTCACAAAAGACAAACATATTTCTCTGGCAATAATTTGCTGGATAAAGAAACATGAATAATGTAATTTGTGTTTTATCCTATCCCAATTATACCAAAAGGAAATTTTTTTCTATTTCTGTTTAATATTGTTTTTGATAGAAATTGAAAATAAGGGTTAAGATATTCTTTTAAGGTTTATGACAGACATTAAAGAATAGAAAGAGTTCCTCTTTATGATAAACTTCAAATGGGGTTAGTATAAAAACAAAACTTTCAATGTATATTAACGTTTCAAATGATGTGTAAAGTTTTAAATAGTTTATATAGATAAAAGCTGAGTTCCCGAATGGAAAGATATAAAATCCATTATATATATTCAGTGTTCCAAACGGTTTGAACTTTTCCGTTGAGGCTCAGAATAGTTAATTTAGAGAAAATAATACTTCATCTTGACAATTAGCAATTGATTGAATAAGTATTACATAAAGACTTCTATTAAATATTGTTGTCAAAGAAGACTTACGCTTTTTTTTAAGGCTTAAAATATACAAATCAGAAAAGAAAGGAGTCCCGTTCATCGATAAACTCTTAATGAGACTTGTATAAAAAATATTTTAATATAAGTTTTGTAGTAGGTTCAAAATTTCAAATTAATGAAAATAGAAAAAAATACTGGAATAAGGATAAAATCATAACAAATATTGTATGTTAGATTTTCAAATAAGGTTAAAAATTGTCTTTAAATGCTCAAAATAGAGAATTCAGAGAGAAGTTCCTCTTAATGATAGACTTCTAACGAGATGATTTTAAAATCAAGAAAAATAATGGGTATGGTAATGCTGATCTTCAACTTATCACAACTCGCATTAACCTGAACCCAATTGAAGCCCCGAGAAGTGTTTTTAGCCCGAGCAAAACTCTCAAACAGCTAAAAATACTTGCTAACGAACTGAACCTCGAAAAAGACATTTAGCCAAAGTGATTTACAAGTCCAACAACAGACAGAGCTGTGGTATATATTTATTTTGGCCTTGTGCCGCATAGTTGGGAGTCTTTCCATGCATTTGCATGTGACGTGACCGCGTTTCTCATGAATCTTGGGAGCGAATTAATAGAACGCTCAACTGATATGAATGCCAGTTAAACACAATTAGAAATCAAACAAAGTCACAAAGCGAATTCTAATGGAATTGCGCAGCAGCCGAACAAGACTGAGATCCCAGCCGACCCACAAATAAATAGAAATTTTTCTTTTGTGTAATTGCCGCAAGACAATTTCATGGTAACTTATTTCGATGGTGTTGAATAGGGGGAGGGGGCTGGGAAAGCTAACAGCTGCACAAATATTTGTTGTGCTTGTACAATGACAAAATGCTTAAAAAACCATAAACCACAAAGCACAAAAAAAAACAACAACAACAACTTTTGTTGTACAAAAAAAAAGCTTAATTGTCACTTGAGAGATTTTTCACTTTCACTGATTTGTTGTGGCGCCGCAATTTGCAGCGTTTTGAAAGTGTTGCCGATTTTCATCTTTCACTGCACAAACAACAACAACTCAGACACACACACACACACACACACACACACACACACACACATATATAGGTGTATGCAGTTGCACGCCCAGTTATGCCGGCTTTTCCATGGCTTTTCATGCCCTTTAAGCGGGTTAATCAGCTATTTAAAAGCATTTTGTAGTACACCCCAACCCCAGACCCCGTGATTAGTCATCCAATCAATCAGAATCGCTGGCAACTCATCGGATAGTAATCTCCGAAGGCTTTTGACAGCCTGATAAAGACCGCGAGAAGTCTCGATTCGCTGAACAGACAAACCCGAACCCGAACCAGTTTCCACAAACTGATCTCAATGCGGCACGTACCCAACTGCTCTGTAGCACGCGTTGCGCTCAACTGAAACCGAAACTGAAATGTAAAATGAATGAAACTGAAAGACTGAGAAACTGAGAGACTGAGAAACTGAAAGACTGAGCAACTGAGAGACTGAGCTAAAAGCCACCTTTTTGAGCTTGTCGCGTAAATTCGTTTAGTTATCGTCGTACAACGAATGCCGTTTTCTTTGGCGCCCCTCCCCAAATCTCACGTTTATTCAGACTTTACAGCTGCTGCTGCTTCTTCTCATTGTTATTGCTGTGAATTGCTTGACTGTGCTTACAGTGGGGCAATTACCTCACGCACTGCTGATAAGGAAAGCGCGTGTACGTGAATTTGATGACACATTGCTTTGCAGTGGGTCAAGACAAGGGCCAATTGATTGAAGTGGAATTTTAGATATTTAAGAATTACTTTTCACTCTTTTTCATACGTATTATTTATATTTTAGGCACTACCTACATACTTGAAAATAAATGTTATCCCAAAAGCTGATACATTGGGATCTAACAGCCACATTTAACATAACATTAACATTTGTTTTATTAACAACACATGTTAATGCGCATGTTAATTGCTGTAACTGTCAACAAAAACACTTAAGTGTGTTATATATAGCCCAATAGATCTTATGATAAAAATAAAAAAAAAGGTTCTCTTTTTTAATGCTGTGTGTTAGAGCTGCTTAGAGGTTCAATTATTTTTATCCGTAAGCTTTCTCAATTTAATTTGAGAAATGTTATATTTCAGAATCTAAAATCTCAGGCTTTCAGAAAGAATAAGCACTTGATAAATATATATAACAGTGATTCGAAAAGTAAAATGTACTTGAATTATAAAATATAAGCTTCCAATAAAAATCTGTAAGAATTTTGTTTTGTAAAGTGTTGGGTACAACAACGGGTGAAAAAAAGTCAGCCTCTAGCCCCAAAGATTTATGTAAATCTCTTTGTATGCAAATCCTTGTTTTATATAATATACTTGATCCTGAACAATATTTGATTTTTTGATGTAAACATAAGGCTTTTATAATATAAATGGGATTTAAATATCTGATTATTTCAGGTCTCTATGAACGAAAACATAACTATCTTTCAAAAAATGTCACACTGGAAAATGGGATCATTATTTAAAAAAACTGCTTGTGGAACTATTGGGTAAGTTGATTTCTACAATTATTCAACTATTCAATTTCAATTTTTCTAAAAAGAATAGTTTGTTATATTTAAATAGAGTTTATGTTTGGCAGGATATTGAATTTGTGACGCCTCGCTTTCCTTCAATTTTTCATTCCCATTTTATAGTTATTTAATTTTTCACAATCGAAAGAAAGGTATATAAACAAAAATCTTCCGATTATATTTAAATATTATTTTGGGTACTTTAAGTTCCACTTTTTCTGCAGTCACAAGACTCGAATCTAAAGATCGTTGCACCTCATACGCTCAAAGCGCCCAACTACGTGCTGTTTTTTATCACGAACTCGTGTAAAACGTGAGCTGCATGAAAAAAGCATCGAGAGAGAGAGAGAGAGAGAAGACAATCTCACTCTTTCAGTATCAGTTGCTCTCTGAGTCTCTCTCTCTCTTTTTCTCGCAGCGCGACGTTTGATAACGAGTTTTTTTGCATTTAGCGAAAAACCGTGAGAAAGCGGCAAACAGGAAGGTCGTTTAATCAAATGAGAAAGTGAACGTTTATGGACTCGAGGGGGCGTGGCAGGCGGCTTTCTTTCGTGTGCCTCAAAAAGTATGAAGTGGGGGGAGGAGCAGTCATATTATATGAGCATATACTGACTGCGGCTCAGCTGTTGCTGCTGCAGTTGTTGCTGTTGTTGCAGTTGTTGTTGCTGTTGATGTTGCTGCTGCTGCTGTTGCTGTTGATGTTGCTGCCACATGAGCAGCGGCATGGAGGCGCCTATGGCATGCCGATTGGCCAAATATGCCTGCCGCTGCGCCGGCAGCGGTGTGTGTGGCAGACCCACAATGTGATAGCTCATTGTGGTTGATGTTGCCGTTGCAGTTGTTGCTGCTGCTGTTGCTGCCGGCAGTGGTGGCACCATGGGCGCCGCTGCTGTCTCGCGGTGCAGCCAAAGCAGCTTGCCACAGTTGGGCATGTCGCAGACGCTGTGATGCAGCGCGGCGGGCGTTAGCTTGTTGCAGTTGCCGCTGTCGGCGCCGCTGCTCAACGGACGCTGCTGCGACCAGGCATCGTAGTTGTTGTTGTCCACGCGCCACCAAAGCTGTTGCTGCCGCTGCTGTTGCTGCTGTAGCCGTGGCTTGTCATCTGTCAGCTCTAAATCATTGCAGCTGCTGTGCAGCTTTTGATGCGCCTGTCGCCAGTGCACGCGATTGCCACCTCCTGCTGCGGAGGGACTGCGTCTGCTGCGGCTGTTGTTGTTGTTCATGATGTTGTTCCGGCTGCTGTTGCTGTTGCCAGGTGCATGCTGCAGCGCGTAGGTGTTGCTGCGTCGCGGCGCTAGCGTTTGATGTATCATGCCTCGTTGTATTATTATTATTATTTTCTCATTTATTTGAGTATGTTTTCTATTTTTTTCACCGCTCAGTGGTGCATTATGTAAGTGGAAATTGACGCGCGTCGCGTTTTATTTTTTGCCGCATTTAATTAGGAATTCGAGTCGAGCGACGTTTTTGGCACGGAAAAGTGAAACTAACTAAATTGGAAAAAAGGCCGCGACAGGCAACTCACCTGCGACCAGGTTTTGTTGTTTTTTCTAGCCGCCACATTTTGGCCATGGCAACGTGTGTGCTGCCGGGCACTGGGGGTGGATTTCCGTTTCGGTCTCGGTCTGGGACTCGGTCTCGGGCTGGGCTCGTGCCACGGACAGGTGGCGCGTGCTAAGCGGGTCAAAGCTGTCCGACAGTCTGGTGGTTTATGTTTCTGTTTCTGTTGTTATTGGCGCTATCGATTAATTTGGCCAACTAATGCACGCGGCGCACCTTCAAAATGCTATTGCAGCAATTGCGGAAATTTGTTCTTAAAAACGGAATTTCTCAAAGGTCATTGAATGTGAAACAGCACGCAGGGGCGTAGACTGGAAACTTTTCCAAAGGGATTGGCTACGACATCGTCATTTGATCAGATTTTCGTAAGATCATTCAATTGTGGTCAACATTGAAAAGCAGGCTATAATAAAATATACAGCTACATTTTTTGGAACACTTTTAGAACAGATCATATTTTAAATTGCTTTGATAAGCATTGCTCTTTTGATTAACTTTCATTTTCCAAATACACCCCACTCTAAACTTTTATATGAGTTTAGATATATAACATTTTTAGCACACATAACTTAGGTGCAATAGCGATAAGTATTAAGGTTCAAGAACCTTAAGCTTATGAGCCTTTAATATATTCATATCTAGATCAATTTGTAATAGATTCAATTGAAATGTGAAACCCGTTTTCAGACTCTAATATTGAAGATTAATAATTGTTTTTAGAGCACTTAATTTTAGTACACGTTAAACTGCACTTTTAGTACAAGTCAAATCCCCCAATCAGAGTGACTCCTATTATAAGAATGCAAATTATTAACTGACACTATAAGAGTGGACCAACATTAATTTCAATCAATTTTTAACATGAAAATTACAGAGAAAAAAACATAAGAGTGGGCCTAAATTGTGATTGTTTTAGTACACTTTATGGGTACATCTTCTTAAACTTTAAAAACCAAAGTGTAGAGTGATCCCAAAAATTGGATTGCGGATTCAATTTCTTTAAAGTATCTAATTTAAATACAAATTAAAGATTTGAAAACTATTTAATCGCAGCTGAACGATTTTTAGTACAAGTTATTTTAGTAGAATTGCAAGCAGCGATTTGTCAAGCCCAACGTTGGCGAACTGGAGACTCACCTGTGCCCGAATCAATTTGATCACCGTTGCTGTAGGGGCTGTAGGGCTCGTAGGATGAGTTCGAGTTGGCCAGGCCCTTGAGCGGCGGCTGTGGGGGAATTGGTGGTGCGGCGCTCGAGTCAAAATCTGCGCCAACAATGACAATGCAAGACAGGAATATGTATATATATAATTTCGAAATGTCTAGAAAAACCAATTGTTTAAGCCAAGCTTGAAGCCAAACCCAGAAAGAACCAAGCGTCTACCAGATTAGAGGGCAACCCCAAAGACACACCCACTGTCCACACTGCCAAGTTGAAGTGTTACCTTTAAATGTCACCGCCAGGGCGTGGCGCTTGAGACGCTCCATGCTGTTGGCTGGGCAACGCCGGGCAGCGCTGCTTGCCGCATCCGCGCCATCGGGCACATAGCGCGCCTTGGGTCGATGCTTGTGCGGATCGAACGGCTGATTGGCAAAGATGTCCATCTGCCTGGCCGGACGCGGCGGCGAGTTGGAGCTGGCGCGCAATGCCGGCTGCCTTTGCGGTTTCTTGGGCAGCGCCGGCGTGCGCTGCGGATGCTTGTGCGCCACCCAATCGCCGCTCAAATGTGGCGATATGCTCTCGTGCACGTCCCGCAAATCCGCCAGGGAGGTGGACAAATAGCGCTGGGGCAGGCTCTGTGCCTGGCCAGCGGACTCCGGCGGCTCCGGTGACTCGTAGCGCTGGCGCAGCGACTGGACGTGGCCCGGGTTGGAGCAGCTGTTGCTGCTGTGGCTGCGCGTGGGACTCGCTTTGGCCGGCAGCAGCTCGGCCGTCTTGCTTATGATGTCTATGTGCGGCATCAGCAGGCCGCGCTGCTTCCGTCTGCCACGCTCTGGCGAGGGAGTTGCTCCGTGTCGCAGCTCGAATTTGTGCGTCAGCTGGCTGACATCCTGCAGCGGCAACGCATCCGTCGCGTTGCCCGAGGCGTCTTTTGATCCTGTCTTCAGTGCAGGATCGCTGCGCGCCTTCCGCAGCGTACTAAGCCCAAAAAAATCACGCCGTTCATTGGACTGCTGCTCCCGCTGGATGCTCTCGAATCTCTGCTTCATCTTCTGCACCTCGCCCGTGTAGACGAGCTGCAGATACGAGCTGGAGCAGGCAGAGGCCTGCGACTGGGGGGACAGACTCCTGGAGCGATAGTAGGCATCGTAGAGCTCAAGGCTGCCGTCGGGTGAACCATGCTCGTAGCTGAGCAGCTCTTCCTGCCGCTCGTCTTCGGGCGGACGATCGGGCGGGCTGTGCAAGTGAAAATTTACGCGTGCTGCCGGACGCTCTCCATAAATGCCGCTTAAATCTGTGAGCGAGTTGCTCAGCTCTGTGTGTACCATGTGACTCTGGCTGTGACTGTGACTCTGGCTGTTACTGTGACTATGCCTGGCCTGCTGACGCGCCTGCATGTTCTGCTCGATGAGCCGCATGACCTCCGCCTCGTCCGGGGAGCTGTCCTCGCGTGCATGGTATATGGTCTTGGGCGGCTCCTCGAACTGCCGCTCTTCAAAGTACTGTATCTTCTGGTTAATGGGATTCTCCCTGCCCTGATCTTGTGACTCCGGCTCGGCTTTGGCCATAGTTTTCGTTGGCTTCGGCTCGCCTTTGGGCTTGGGTCGAGGCGGCACCTCGGGCGGCTTGGTTAGCGTTAGCTCCGCATTCTTAGCGGCGATGGCGCCACGTGTCTCCCGGGCGACCACCACGGGGGATTGGCTGCGCGTGGCACGTGGCAGGGTCTGCGCCTGCTGCTCCTCCCGCTTGCGCAGCACCGGACCGAGCAGCTGCTCCTTGCTGATATTCGAATTGCAGCGCACCTTCAGCGTGTTGGCATGGCTGCTGGGCTTTGAGCCCTTCTCCACGGTGACCACATACTGCTCCTCCACGGCTCCGGGCTGACGATTGCCCGCATAGATCTCGTTCAGCTGCTGTGTTATCTTCTTGATTTGATCCTTGGACAGCGTGCTCACCAAATCGTTGCTCAAATGACGATCCGTCTGTCTCTCCGTCTGTGACTCCCGGCTGTAGCCTCCAGCTTCCAGGCTGCTGGCCAGATCCGCCACCGTGTTCCGGCGCCATTGACGCTGCACGGGTGGCAGCTCGGCCTCGGTGCGTGACTGTTGCTTCAGCAGCTGCAGCTGCTCGAAATTCTCGCGCAGATCCTCCACGGATTTCTGCTTGGCATGCAGCGCCTGATCCGCATCCTGTCGCCACTTGATCTCGTTCACGTCCTTGGAGCGAAAGTGCAAGTCGCGCTCGCGCTGATCCATTTGCAGCTTGCCCACCAGATACTGCAGTTCCTTCTCGGCGCGCTCGTGCAAACGCACCTTGCGCCACTCGTCAAAGTCCAGCAGTTCCGCATCCTTGCGCAACGGATGGAAATTGCTCGCCGAGGTGGCACGCTCTAGCTGCCCGACGCGCTCCAAGGTGCTGTAAAAGCGATTAAGCTCGGTGAAGCGTTCGCAATTGTTGCGATACCGACAGCTGGGACTGTGCCGCTCCAGCTGCACCAGCGAGGTGGCGCTGTGCGCCAGCTCCCCACACTGATAGAGTCCGTCACCACCAGCTGCACCACCCGACTGCCGCTTGCTGCGGTCGTCGGCGCTGCTCAGGCTGCTGGCCCGGGCCACCGCCTGCTGTTGTTCCTTGTCCTGGCGCTGGCTCGAGCGCAGGCTGTCTATGCGCCGGCGCGAGGGGGAGCGCACCTCCCGCTGCTGTGTCTGCTGCTGCTGCTGAGGCACGCGCACCTCGCGCGTCGGTGAAAAACGACGCCCCAGCTCCGTGTGTGGTGACTGTGGCCGCGCGATGTCCGTCACAGCCGCGGGCCTGACTGGGCCGGGCAAAGCCTTGCTCTCATACTTCCAGACGAGATCTTCTATGCAGCTGCCGGGTGCCTGGGCCGATGTGTAATCGTAGACATCCTCGGCATAGCCTGGCTCCACCAGCGAGCAGTACTTGTAGTCGCTGGTGCCTCCATTGATCAGCTGCGGCAGCGAGTGGGGCGTGTGGATCGTGTGGGTCGTTTGGGTTTGACCTTGCTTGGCATTGTAATCGTTCCAGAAGTGGGTTTTCTCGCGCACCGTTTCGCTGTACGATTGCTGGGCAATAGCAGCCGTGGGTTTGGATTTGGTTAAAGTGGTTTTGGTGGTGGTGCTCGAACGCTTGCGCGGCACATGACCCTCGCTGCGGCTGGTCTGCAGCTTGTTGGGCTTCGACTTGCCCATATAGGTTTTGGGCGGTGCTATGGGCACATACTCCTGCCGCACCACCGAGTCGATGGAGTAGGTCGAGTTGCTGCGCGGCAAACTCTCCTGCGAGGCGCTGCGATGCACCGTGGCAATTGCCTGGACAGTTTGACCCTGCGCCTTGCTGCACTTGGGCAGCACTTTCTTCAACGTCCGACTGCAGTCCAGCAGCTGCTGTGGTCTGACCTGTGGCAGGCACATAGTGTGCCGCGTGGTGGTGCTGACGGTGCTGTGGCGCAAACGGGGCAGCGACTTGCTCCTCACAGTGTGCTGCGCCTTGCAGGTGGCATAGGAGCGCACCGCCTCGCGCACCTCTTGCGGGGATTTCAGCGAGGGATCGCGCAGTATATTGGTGCTCGCCTCGAAGTTCGTGCGACTAGGCGGCAGCGTGCTCTCCAGACGCTTCTTCTCCTCGGCGAAGCTGCGCTCCTTAGAAATGCTGCGTCCAAACGCGACCGGACTGCGGCTCGAGTTGCGCAGCGCGAGCAGACGCGCGGCGGGGCGACGACTGGGACTCACGGAGCGCAGGCGCGCATGATGCTGATGCTGATGCTGCTGCTGATGGACCCGCAGCAGGCAGCCGTCCTTGGTGCGCGTCTCCTTGGTGGCGGTCAGGGTGGCCAGCAGCGTGGACACTGCTCCGGTGGACTTGGAGCGGCAAATGGGCTCCCGACGTGAGCTGGCGACCTTGCGCATGGTTAGGCTATTGCTGCCGCCGGGCGGCAAAAAGCATTGATCGTGGCGCGACTTGGCGCAGCTGCTCGTAATCTTCTCCACGCGCACGGTGCTCTTGGTGCAGGAGGAGCGGCGATTCGGTGGCAAAGGAGCCGTCTCCTGCAGCTGCTGCTGCTGCTGCTTCTTGCTCAGGGGTATAAAAGAGGGCAAATTCTTGGAGAAATGCGAAAACATTTTGTTAGCTGAAGTTGGTGGCGGCGGTGGCGGTGGTGGCGGGGGAGGAGGTGTTGGTGGTGCGTGCGGAGCAGTTTTAGTCTCTGCTTGCTCTAGCACTTCCTTGGAATCCTCAAGCGGCTTGGTGCTCACGCGTATTTTGGTTAGCGTGGGCGTTATCTGAATAAATTCGAATTCTTCCACAATTTCTTTTTAGAGGATGGGAAGAATAGATAGAGTTCGTATTAGGATAAACTTAACGCAGCGACTTTATAGAGGGTGCCCGGTGCTGCAGTGCTTCAAAGAACGCTCGACGCATTTGCGGATAACAACTTCTAGTGTGGCAGTGGGTGTGTATAGTAGTATATACCAAATGGTTAAGAAAAGTACACTCAAGTTAGGTTTAAAAAGTTGAAAGAGCAGGAGAGAAATCCAACACCAATTGAAGAATTAGTATAAATAAAACTGCGCCTTAACTTAGGTTATTAATATGTAACTACAGTAGACAAAGAGTCTACCTCAATGTTGAGCTCTCACCTTTGGGTTTCTCGGGCGCGGGCTTACGGAAGCCCAGCAAAGGCGGTTCCCCTCCCGCCTGCAAGCTCTTGTAGGCCTGTCGCTGCTCCACGGGACTCAGCGGACTGCTAACGGGTAGCTCCTTTTTGCGGAAGACTAGATTCGAATCGCTGGTATAACCCGATTCCTTGGCCAGAGCTCTGTTTGGGCCAAACGAGAGTTTAGATACTAGATTTTAGATTTTAGAACGAGAAACTTCGTACCTTGACAAATTGCCTTCTGTGTAGAGCGGCGATAATTTCGATTGTTCCAAATTCTAGTTTGTAATAGAGAGAAAAATGCATATTATAAAACGTTCTAAGAAACGCTTTCTTTAAGTGAAACGATTTCAAGGCATTGATTTTTTCCATATTTTGTTTTCCATTTTTGAAAAAATTAGTAATTCGAGTGCCTTGTTTTTGTGGACGCAATGATACCCTGCAGCTGTCTGGCTATGCTAGATTATATACTATAACCATATAACTTACTGAATAGTTGTCAAAATCATCGACGAACTCTATTATAATGCGCGGGATGCGTGTATGTTCCCTGAGCCACTTGGCGTTAAGCATAAATATTGGGTTCAGGAAATATATAAGATATACTTTTAATAAACTAAGGAAGTTACTTTTTGAGAACGGAAAACGTTTTGGGCAGCTCAACAGAATAAGAGTGAACAGTAAAATAAAGGGAAATAATAAATCTATAGCTAAAATTAATTGTCTAGAACAGGAATTAAATAGATTGGCGTTCATACCCCGTTAAAGATGTCCATCACTTCGTCCCACCACTAGAATTGTGAATAATAAAATAATTGCTGTGAGTTAGAAAAATTGCTACGCGAAGTATGTATGACAATTATGAATATGCGTGCTTATGAGATCGTGTCATATATGGGTTATATTATAATGGAACTTCTCGAACGAAATGCGAGGGGAAATGATTTGACTGAAGCATGGGCGAGTGTAGCGAGAGAATTAATGAAATGGGGTATGTTTAGCATTAATCGTGGTCGAGCTTAGATAGTTTGGTTAATATTTGTCGGGGAGCACCGAATGCGATAGGTTCTGTGCGTGGTTAAATGCTGCGGCTGACTGTTTGCCATTCGGGCCACTTGCCTCCTTCTTCTCCTTCTCCGAAACGGACGAATGTCCAGTTGTATAGTTCTCGATGCGACCAGGTTGATTCTTGTACGAGTTCTGTGCCGCTTTTATGGGATTGGGCATAGTACCATACAATCTGGAAATGTGACAATACATAATAAAAGGTGACAATATATTCTGGAGATTTTACTTACTTATCGTCCTGGTTTAGATTGCGCACATTGACTGCCGATGAGACCGACTGCACGCGTAGAGGATTGGGTGTACGGTATTTTACAGTCGAGTAATCGGAATCGTAATTGGGCTCGGGCTCTGAGACATAACCATTGCTCTTGTACGAGGGACGTGCTGTAGGGGTTGGGTAGAATAAAGATTAGTCAAGGAAAAACTTGAGATATATTTTTGGGTTAGAAATTTACGAGCACTACTGATGTTGCTGTTGTTGTTGTTGTTGTTATCTCTGTTGTTGTTTTTGTTGCTGTTGTGTTTCGGTGTGTTAGCAGACATGATGTTAGAGCGTTGTATTCTAAGCTTAGTATATGAGCAGGTTCTTAAGTTAGGGTTAGTGTAGAAACTAGGTTAAAGCGTTCCAATGAGCTACACGGCACGAAAATATATGAGAGAAAAAATTATAATCAAAAATAAGATCGAAGTTCCGCATGCCAACTAATGAAAATCTAGTAACTAACGTAAAAATCATAATTAAAAATCACGCAAAAGCGGGCAGGCTGAGCGAAAAAGCCAAAATTAAAATGTGTAAAGAGAGAGAAAGAGAGAGCGGGGGCAAGCTTAGACTGAATTTTGAATTTAGACTACATTAAGAATTAAATATATCAAAAAATCACCTCTGGGACACTTGTAGCGTATCACAAAATCGTCTGTTGTATGCGATTCGACAGAACAGTTATATATTTTTTGAGAGTAAGCGTATGGATGGGGTAATTTTGGTGATATGGTAGACAATAGAAGACATTCAAAGAGTTCAGAGAGTTAGGATTAAAGAACTAGTTCAGCAGGCGCAGAACTGAAGCATTATAAAAGAGACAGGTTGAGTAAATGGAAGCTGGCATGGAATATGAACTATTTTTTAATTTAATCATCATTTAGAATGCTTCAAGTTCTTGATATCTGAGTGGCAAAACATTTACCGCCATTCTTCTGCTTATGTATGGTCTGATAGAGTCGCTTATACCATTCATGCTGGTGCGGTTCCTGGACCTCCTGCAGCGTATGGGACAATAGAAATAACAGAAGATATTATATATTCGACGGAGCTAACTAAAGTCACAACCAATTTGGTATCTGGTCTTTACCGATCTCAGTATGATGGGCATTCCATCGTTGGTCACCGGACCGATGCCTTCGTATTGCCGTCGACCTAACTGTGCCATTTTGCGCGGACGATCGCTTTCCGTTTCCGGTTCGCTCATATACTCGTGCTTGACTTTGTAGACTGTAAACCGTAGATAGTTTTTGTTTCATTTTAGTTTTGTGTGGGTCAGTGTAAGGGGGTGTGTGGTGGGGGAAATTAACTTGAACGGGTGTTAAACATTTAAGTTGCAACACGCAGGGCACTTCACAGGCCTCCCTTTTTTTTGATTGTGTGTATCAACGACGTGAGAACGCGCTCGATTTGGTCATTACTTGGCCCAAAATCAATACTTACTGACTTCATTGGGCCTATAGACGGGACGGCTAGTGTCAGACAGTTGACGGCGTGCGAACGGCCTATATAGCTCCGATGTGGAAGCCGAGCGTTCAAATGCTTTAGATGATGGAAGGTCAATGCAAGGAAATTAATAAAAATGTTATGATCCAAATAAATAAACTAGAGAGTCACACAAATCACATTTGAGCAGCAAAATACGAGTGTTCTTTTTTAACTGATAAATTTACAATGCTAATATAAAATGAGCAACATCTTGATCGGGCTTGGAACTCCCCCTCAACTAGCTAAGGTAAGGATATAAGTTTTCGGCAGCTAGTAGAAATTGTTGCTGCTTAGGATATATAAAGTCGTGTTGCCTTGAATAAATAACGTGACTCCAGCATAGAATCATGAAATCTTTAGAGCATAAACTAATTAAAATTGTATTTCTTATCGAAATATTCACTTTCTTATTGGCAACTGAGCAAATTTTCAGAAAATATGTATGTATATATATTCATGCATTGGCATAGATCAGGTATTACTTGGCGGAACTCTACTATTAAGAAAATAAATTTAATTATCTTCTACTTGAGCTTCTAAGTATATAAATACTACTAAGCAGATTTATATGCATATATATATCGATATATATATGCTTCGATTAACTGTGCAAGCAAGTACTAATATCTGCTTAAAAATATGCTCAAGCTTTATTCATAATCAGAACTAAGCAAGTTTTTGAGCAAACTAGCAAAAATGTTGATATGCAGGTTCGTTCTTTAAATAATTAAATAATTAATAGAAAATATTTAACTGATTTTGGCTTAAAATCAGCTCAAATAAGTTATCAACTCAAGTAATTCAAAACTAGGTCTTGTCATGAGTTTTAACATTTGTAATTTGCTCAAAGCGAATCATTTGTCATTCGAGTCAAATGCGGCCTTTACGAATTCTATATGAAATTGAGATACCCTAGTTTTCTGAGCTCTAGCAATTGTGTTGCTAAGTGCCACACATATATGTATGTACTTTTGATCTTGTCGGAGACACTGGCACTGGCAGCCACTGGGCCAAATTGATTGGAATAATCGGTTTCCGCGTAGTCCGAATTGTTCGAGTTAAGCGTTGTGGGCGTGCTCAGGCTGGTGGTGGTCGCCGTGCTGCTCCGTGGTGCAGGCACTGGGCAGTTGCCGTTTGTGTATGACCAGGGCGGAATCGTCGTCGTCGTCGTCTGCTGTTGTTGCTGCTGCTGCTGCTGCTGCTGAGCCGTGTAGCGTCGTGGCAATGTGGGCGACTCGAAGCGCACGGGGCGAAACTCTTTGCGTCCGCTTAGAGCGGGCGACGTCTGCGGCGTCCACACGGGCTGTGTGGGTGGCGGCGGGGGCGTGGGCGCCGCCGAGGAGCTGATGTCTAGCTCGTTGCTGGAGCCGTACGGCGTTTGACTCTTGGGTGTCCAGACGCCTGTTGATGATGGTTAATGAGTTTGTGTGCTCTAATGACACTTGTGCTGTGGATGGGGCAGTGGTTCGGTGGGCAACACATGACATTTTCAGGGGCGCAAGTTCAAATCGAGTTGAGTTTTTTTCTTTCTACTATCTATTTTCCTGCTGCTGGTGCTGACATTTACACTTGTCAACAAATACATGCTCGTCTGGCGCAACGTTTTACGGCTGCTGCTGCTCAGGTTTTTAGTTCTGAGTTTTTTATTCTTGTCTTCTAACCAAAATAAATGTTGCAGTCAACAAACCGAGCGAAGACAAATTGACAAACAAACATCGCGACGTTGAACAGCAATAATTAATACGACCAAGGAAGCCGCATTTGGCAGCCATTCAAAATTTGGCCACAAAAACCAAAAAAAGAAACTATCGCACACAAATACACACACTCAAAGACACACACACACAGACACACACGTGAATGAGTCATAGCATTTGGCGCATGTTTAGAACTTACAAAGACTTTCACAGATACAAATATACAGATACAAAGCAGACTGTTATAAAATTATATTTGAATCAAACGACACAAAAAGAAAAAAAAAACTCACGAGGTGTTTCAATTGTTAAGTACAGTAGACACTGGCAGTGCAAGTATTGAGAAGTGTTCAAACAACAAAATACTATATATTGATTTGTGGGCACATTCTTTGGCTTGAGTAAGAAAACGTTGACCAGGATAATTTAATACTTTTAAAATAAGCCAGAATTGCCGATGAATTTTTAAATATATATTCAGAAATGACCATTTTTTATTAAATATAATAGTTATATTTAATTACAGTTTTTTAAAATGCCTTTCGCCTTTAAATTTAAAATAGAAAACTTCAAAGAGATTTCAAAAATTGAATTCATGTTTTTTATAGTAATTATAATTATAATATTTAATTATTATTATTATTTTGATTATTCTCCCTCTCTAAAAAAATCAATTCTATTCTATTCTATATTTATATTCTGAAGTTGACTTAAAAATCTTTCAATCTCATATTCCTATCAGTTTTATATGAAAGACAAAAACCAATAAAAGAACAAAATTTGTGTAACATCGAGATGTTGTGTATAGAGATATATGCAAAACTTCCTTGATATGTTTAACACAACATTTCCTCCGACTCATTCCTTACTTCGAAAGAATTTGAAAACTAATTTACAGTTAATGCAAATATAAATTAAGAATCAAATTTAAACAGAATAATTTTGTTAATCGATTTTTTTTTGAATAAGATAAATTAGATCTGCTCAATCAGCCCTCGCTGAAGCAGCCTTCGCTGCTTGTGCAGTCAAAATCTTTCACCCAACAGATTTATATGCCACCTGTAATAGCACGCACACACATAGATACAGATACAGACACAGATACAACTATAGCATTGGATACACGTATATCTGCCTAGGCGCGAATGCCGCTAGACATTGACACGTATAATGCGTCTGTAGAATACGTTTTGGCTCTGAGATTTGTTGCTAAAAATCTGTTGTTGTTGTTGCTGCTCTTGGATTCGTGGGTGGATGCGCTGACGTCTTAATTCAATCAGCACCTAATCGAATTATACAACCGAATCAAAGTCTTGCCATTGCCAATCAAAATCAAAATCACAGTCCTTCCACAAACTCACTCACTCACTCAGTGAGTCATTCACTTAACACTCGCATTTTGCTGCACTCACACACACTTGAAATTTACCCTAGACAGGATGAGGAAGTAGTTGATAGTATTTTGAAGTCTGAGAATAGGATCGAATGCGTTAACCGTTGCAAGTTCTCGAGTTGCTAACTCCGCGCGCGGCTCAAAGCGACTGAATTTTGCGTGACCCGCCGGCGTCGAGCAGACCAACTCGCCGATTACTGATTTTCTTTTTGGGAAAGCGCTGGAAAACAGCACAGAAAAAAAAACAAAAGGCGCAAATCACAAGCGACTGCTAAATGACTAAATAAAAAAAAAAAAAAAAACAGAAAGAGAACAACACACCCAGTCACAGTCAGGCAAACTGCAGGGCAACCCCCCTCATGCGCCGCCAGAGCCAACGATTTCCCAGCAATTTTAAATAGAAGATCAATTACGCGGCAATCAAATATGGGAGAGCTCCGTGCTCGATGAAGCGCACGCTCGGATCGGATATATTTGATTTGGACGAGACCGTTCCGAGACAAAAGCAGACTTTTTTTATTTAGTGGAACGCCAATTATGCGTGCAA